GCTGGGGCTGCAGCAGCTCGGCCATCATAACGTTGATTCTGACAATATTTACCGAGCACCAGGTTCTGCCCCAGGAGTGCTGCACATCCACCAACACTGAGCCTTACGTGAGCATGGGAGGGGGTTATGCTCCCCATTTTACCCATAAAGAAATGGGTGTCTAGCTAAGGTCACAGAGCCAGCACTGGGAGGAAGGACATAGCACGGAAGTGGGGCCCTGTGACTGCAAAGTCCTCTTGATAAGCACCCCACAGTAGGGGCTTAAAGTCCAGTGCGAGAGTGAGGCAAATGGATAGATCAACAGCCTGAGTTGGCTGGGTATGGTGGAGCATGCCTGTAATTCCAGCTACCAGGGAAGTGGAGGCAGGAGGATCTCAAGTTTGAGGCCAGCTTGGGCAAAGTTAGTGAGACTCTATCTCGAAAATAATACAAACAGAAGGGCTAGAGGTGACTGGTGGTAGATGGGGCTGGGACACGGCTCAAATGGTGGAGAGTTGCCTTGCATGCTACAGACCCTGGGCTCAATTCCCAGTACGGGGATGGGTGGGTGTTTGTGAAGCTGAGCTGTAGAGGTGGAGGGGCCTCCGTGTGGCCTCAGCAACACATTAGGAGCAGGGGGAGGACAGTGGCTCTGCTCAGTGAGCACTGAGGCTTGGGACAGCTCTGTGATACTTCCTAGGACAGTCCCGTCCTGTCCCTCTTCCTGGCTCACAGCTCAGTACCGCCTGGAAAGGATGGAGGAGGGGAGCAGGGGGGATCTCATGGCCACAGAGAGGACCACTCGTGTGTGCAGAGCAGGAGAAGAGCTCCTGTGAACGGCACCAACAGTTTGGCAAGTCAGCATCTCTCCACTCACATGGCCACCCAGTTGTGACCCCTGTCCCCTCCTTGTCATCGCACTTTCTGGTTTACATTTCAGCCTTCTGCGATCCTCAGAGCCTGAGATTTCTCTAGCCTCATTCTCTTCTTGCCTTCTCTCATCGTCTCCGGCCCCAACCTCAGCTTCCGCCTGTCTCCCCAGGTTTATGACAAGCAGGGTAATTCAGACAGCTGGTGGGTGTTCGGCGAGTGTCCACTGTGAGCCACACACTGTTTCAGGTACAGATGGTCAGCGCCATCTGTAGGTGTCGTGCTGCAGGATGGAGGCGGGTGAAGGAACCTGTGAGTCCACAGACTGTCACATGGTGCTAAGTGCTCTGAGGAGCAGCTGAGCTCTGGGGGCAGCGGATTTCGGCAGCACTGGCCAGCTCTGCTCCCTGAACTCAGCCTGCCCTGTGTAGTGTAGACTGTGTCACAGAGTCACCTGGGGGAACTGCACAAAATCCTAGGGGTAAAACCACAGCCCTGGCTCGTCTCATGGCAAGTGCTAAGAAAACAGCGTTTTAACAAAGGAAACAGTGAGGTGGACATCCTCGTGAATTTTAGGCGACCTTACATCTTACTGTCAGAAGTCAGAATTCAGCTCTTGGTCACTGAAGCTCTGTCCCCTCCAGTGTCACCCACCTGCTGGCAATAGGGCTTACCAGGGTTTGGGAGAACCCTGTTAGGGTTTGGTCTGAACTGTGACAGAGCCCGTGTGTTGGAGGCTGGGTACCCACTGATGTGCTATTGGGAAGTGGTGGAACCTTTAGGAGGTGGGGCCTAGTGGAAGGAAGTGAGGTCATTGGGGGTGTGCTTTGAAGAGGACACTGGGGTCCGGCCACTTCCTGTCTCTCCATTTGCTTCCTGGCTGCCATGAGGTGATATATGCTCCCTGTCATGGTACTCTGACTCAACACAGACCCAAAACCATGGCGCCAACCAACCGTGCACTGAAACTCTGGAACCATGAGCCCAAATAAACCTTTCTTCCTTGTAAATTGATTATCTCGGGTATTTTGACATAGCGACAGAAGCTGATTTACACAGCTGGTTTCTTACAGTGCACAAATTCTGGTTTTGGAACCTTAGCATTCTCCCCCACTGGACACTGGGATGTCCTACTCCTGCCTCCTCTGGGGCCCTTGCTCTGCTTCTGTCTCCCCCTGACCCCGCCTGAGGCACACTGCAAGGGAGTGTAGGACTTTCACACCAGTCCCATTAATATGTACAGTTCCTACATGTTAATTAAAAATAAAGGAGTATGATTAAGAAAATTTTCCATGTGGGGACTGGCAGAGACGCACCCAAGTTCCCTGGTCTGTCACCGGTCACACCCTCTGCAAAGCAGTGTGTCTTCCCAAGCTCAGTATCACAAGGAAGATTTCTGGAGTGGGGAGAATACTGGCTTAATTTTAAATTAAAATGCAACCACTGTCTTGTTGCTTTTAGAACTAAGTAGGAGAATAATATGACCACTAATTTCTTCTCAAATTATGTATTATTTACCTTCCATTTAGTTAATTTGCAATGCAATGTAGCTACTTTTCAGAGGTAATGTCTGGGAAAGAAAAATACTGTAAAGCAAGGGCAGCAGTTCTTCCCTGACCCTCACAGGCCCTCGGCTGGAGCAGACCATCAAAACACAGAGAGGCAAGAGAAAAACAAATCCAGACACATGGGAGGCGGCCAGGGTGGGCAGCTCTCGGAGAGGTGGCTGAGAACTCCCACTTCTGTCACTTCAACACGGAACAGGAAATTCTTAGAGAAGGGACAGGACAAAGGACAAAGTCTCTGGGTGGCGACTGGACTCATGGGAAGCAAAGAGCTGTAGGAGAGGCTGTCAGGGAAGCTGGCCTGGAGCCTCTGCAGTGTCTCGGGGTGGTGAGCATCTCAAGTGGTCCCCAGTGGTTAAACCCTGTCCCCAGTGGCTAACCTCTGTCCTGGGCAGTGCAGAGGTCTCTGCCTTTGTAGCTCTCTGCCTGCTTTCAGGAGAGAAGAGGAGAAGGTGGTTCTCCTCTCCTGCATCTTCTCATTGGCCACCCGCTCAGCCCTGGTCCCTGAAGACCCCAGGGAGGCGAGTTCCCAGCACTTGTCATGCATGTGGAGTTTTTAGTCCTGAGGCTCTCTGCTGAATTGTTTCGGATGTGGCAGGTTTTCACCTCCCTTCCTGAAAGCAACTTTGGTCCTTGTATACAGTTTCCTTTATTGCACCTGAAAGCTAATCTCGCTCTCTCTCTCTCTCTCTGGTGGTATGGGGTTTGAACTCAGGGCCTAAATCTAGCTAGGCAGACGCTCTACCCCTTGAGCCACCCCGTGAGTACAACCTTTTTTATGTTGGATATTTTTAAGATAGGGTCTCACAAACTATTTGCCTGGGCTGGCTTCAAACCACGATCCTCCTGATCTCCGCCTCCTGAGTTGCTAGAATTACAGGACTGAGCCACCGGTACCAGGCACTGATATCTCTTTTATTTTGAAGGTGTTTTTATGCATTAGTATGGACAGATGTGTGACATTAGGATTGGCACAACTTAATGAAGTAAACACAAAAATGTCACCTGATTTACTCAGCACTTTCTACGTTCAGTCTCTGTGCTAGACGTTCTCTGCTCAGCATCGATTTTAATTTTTGACATAAAAATCTGATGTCATTATGTGTCACCATTCTGAAAGGAGAAACAAGCACAGAGAGGTTAGTGACCTACATAGTGGGAAGCAGTGAAGCTAGGGTTAGAGGCTAGCTCTGAATCATTCTCAAAAAGGTCACGTTCCTTCCAGACCGTCAAGGTTAAGAAGGAGAACAGAGGTCTGGCCTCTTTTGCTACAGTAGTATTTAAACAAAGACTGCAATTTGCCAACCATCTGCAGCTCGTTACACCATGTGTTGTGGCTTAATTTACGGTGGACGCTGTGTGATAGCAGTGGGTGAAGCTGTCGTGGTCCTGTTTTTCTAGTTGGATGTCAAAGGCACTGGGCTTTTGGTTATGGGGCAGGGCTGGTGTGCGGGATGGTGCATCTGCACCTGCAGGACATCAGAGGAGCCTGGCTCTCTCTCCTCTCAACAGCTCCTGCAGCAGCAGATCCGGGCCCTCCAGGTAGAGCTCAGGACACAGGCGTTTCGGTGGTCTGCGGCCCACAGCCAGCTCCAGAGTCAGATAAACGCCCTGACGACACAGAACCTGGAGCTCCGGGAGGCGCTGAAGGTGATGGGGCTGCAGCTCCTGGAAGCCGTGGAGAGGCCTGCAGCCTTGCTGCCCACAGGACAGCCCGGCCCTCCGGTACAGCAGGCTTTTCCATTACTTAAGACAGTGTCGCAGAGGCCCGTGCTTTCTCACGGGTACGGGATGGGGGGCTGCCCCTCACCTGGCACCCAGTGAGGCTGTGTCTTTCCCTCTTTTCAAGTGCAAACAGGAAGAACTGGCTCCTTGGGCTTCCCAGGAGTGCCCCCTCACTGCTGGGTCTGTGCCCCATCTTCCAGGACACCTATCGGTGGCACGTCCCGGCTGGGTCTTTAGCCCAGTCAGGCATGGCTCCAGCTTCCCACTTTGCATCATCAAATGGAGTGGGTTCTGTCATGACCTCCATTGTGGCCACAGAGGGATGGTAGGGCTTGGAGCAGAACTCAGGCTGACTCCAGATCAAGCTCAGAGCAGGCTGATCGCCATCCTCACAACAGTGGTGGACAGAGACATAGCCACACCGGCCATCAGGAGCCAGGAGTCTCCTGTCACAGAGGTCGGCTCCTCAGAGACCTGTCTGCTGCCACACAGTGCTAGGCCTCTTCGGCTGAGCTGTGGGAGGAACACAGTGTGTCACAGAGACCGCATTGTCTGTGTGCTCTTGCCTGCGAGTGGAGCTAAGCAGCCAGCATCACTGAAAATTTGTGGGATATTTCCCAGTTGAAGCCAGAAAATCTCTAACCTTTCTTTTCTGCATTGTAAACTTCTAAAACACAGCTCAAGGACTCAGGATGTTCCTGATGCAGCCAGTCACCTCCCCACACACTCAGAAGAAGTCCGTGGGGCTGTGGAGGAGTCACCTGTGGTCTGGTCTCACTCTCAGCCCTTGGGAGCAGCTTCTAAAAGAAGTCACAGAAACCCCTGGGAGCTGTCCCATTTTTCAGAGTTGGTGGCTTCGCGTGTCAGTATTGTACCTGTCATTGCAGTGACTCACGGGTTTGCTGCTGTTGCCTCTGCAGGGTCCTAGTTCTCTTACACCACTTCCCAGCTAAGCATAGCCGCTGCCCACTTGCTCAGGCACGCAGGTGGAGCTGTTTCATTTCACGTGTCAGGTGGTGAAGTCTCTGCGTGGTCCTGCGGTTGAGACTCTTCACTTGTTTTCAGGTGAATTTCAAATGCTCACCGACTCTGCAGGTGATTGTACTCACCACGAGGCCATTTATAACAGCCTCCCCCAAACGCATCTAACTTGAAGAAAAAAGACCAGATCTGAGAATTTTGCCCTTTTAAGTATGCTAGGTGTGTCTGTGTGCAGACATGATTTTCAGGGTGGTGACAAAAAGACTGACACTTGCACATATGACGAAAGTGTGTAGCTGAGGGCCAGCCACTCCATCCTCAGGGGGTGGGAAAACTTAGAATATCAGCCCACAATGCCTCTCCCTGCCTACGGGGTCCGCAGTTTGCCGCAGAGGCTGCTGCACAGCGGGAAGATGGAGAGTTCCATCTCACGACACAACACCAGATGCAGTGGCACGTTTTCTCTGTCCTCGACACATTCTCAGCGGACCACACAGGACTGTTTCCAAGGAAACACACGTTGGGTATCGCGCACTCTGTGGTCTTTGAGATCCTGTGATGGTTTTGAAATGGCGATTAATAAAAAAGGAGACGATGACTCTTTTATGTCCTCTGATGATTGGGGACGCTGAAGGGAAACCAGCTCTTCCATATCTGTGTGCCTTGTGCCCTGCTCTTTTGAGGACTTTGAAATTATTGTTGACGGGTTAAGATAAGAATTTACCTCGCAGTTGCCATACCTCTGAGTATGTGGCAACTTCCCCTGCATTTTATTTGTCATCAATTGTCTTTTAGATATCGTTATCAACATCTGGAAGAATGTCACCTCTACCAACTGATGAGGACATGCCAAAATCTGCCGGCCCCAAGAATCATGGCCTTGCTCTCCCAACACGAAGGCAGCCCTCTAAGCCCGTAGCTTCCCCGAAGGTGGTCATCTGCATTCCTCCTCTGGAGAAGGAGGCAGAGGTTTGGTACCCAAATTACAAAGCCCCCTTGATGCTCACCCCCCGCTTCTGGGTGAGCATGTGCTCCCTTGGAGCCATGCATCTTCTGAGGTCATGACCATGGGCACAGCCAAAAGAGACGTGGCCTTGAGCAGATCTGCTGAAGAGGGAGGTCCCAAGGTCACTCACTGCTTTCCTCTGCCTGCCCACCCCAAGGGCTGCCAGGCTGCTGGGTCAGGAGGTTTTCCCTAGGTGGTGGTTCAGGTGACCATGGGGCTTATCTGTGTCACTCTGGTTCTGCAGCTGTTGCTTCTCTGCCTGGGCTCCTCTGTGCCTTTTGTGTTGGGGCCACAGTGCAACCCACTAAAGGAAACTAATTGGGTTGCTCAATAAATGTGTAATCTAATGAATGAATAATTGAGCAAGTACTAAGCTACACCTCAAAGCCATCAGCTTTTGAGTAGCACAGAAGGTAGAAAAAAATTTTGCACTTCATTTTACTGTGGTGCCAAACTGTTTCTTCACTATCAATCCCAACGGCCCTGGAACCACAGCGCAAAGGCTGTAATGGGGGGAGGGGGCGATCCCATGAGTGGCTGCCCTTCTGCCCTTAGCTGTAAAATTGGGGTTATCGTAGTCTAGATCATGGGATGGCCAGCGGGATGGACTGGCCAGTGGTTCCGGACATGATTGGTTAATGCAACAATACCCTTCCTGTTTACTTTTAGCCAATTAGCCTACAGATAGGAAGAACCCAGTCGGAGATTGCAGCCTCTCTGGAGGATGGACATCTAGCCCCTCCCAGAGGTCTTCACAACAGAAGGACCACACCCTCGGGAGGGGTGAGTCCCTTGGAAGAAAGGACCGTCTGATGATGGAAAGGTGACCTTATACTAGCTGTGTTAGGTCGAACAAGAGAACTCAACCAGTGATTCAAAATAGACCTCGTGATTTATTTAAAACGATTGTTTCTATAGATAAAAAATTGAATTTCTTCAGACATGTCTTTAGTACTAAAAAAGCAAGCTATAGAGTTTTAAAAAATTATTTGCTTTACTATGTTTATAGTTGGGGTTTTTTTTTCTTTTTGCATTTAAAAAATTTGACCTAGCTCATAGTACAGAGAGTGGTGCTTTTGGGGGAGCCTGGGATGTTACCCAAAGGTTGGTAGCAGACGCTGGCTGTAAGCAGAAGCCAGTCTAAGTCTTGGATTGTTCTGGGAGGCAGAGACATGCAGGTTTTGTGACTGTCTTGGTGCCCAGGTTATGCATCAATCCTTCCAAGCCCTGCACAAACTCAGGGGTAGAAGACTGCCAATGTCAGCCTGGGACGTTACACCGCCGGAGGCCATGGCAGCGGCCAAAGGACAGGAGCACGGTGAGTGGTGGAAGGGCTCCATCCTGTGCCTGCCTGCTGTGAGGGACCCTTTAGTGTGGGCAGATGTGCAGAAAAGTTTATGGTGGTGCGTGCCGTCAGTTCTTGGGGCTTCTGAATTGATGGCCACTTCTTGTCTGATTCTCACATGGGATCCTCTTTGTCCATCTTGCTGACCCCTCCTCAGTGCCCCACACCTAGGCCAGTGCTGGCTTTCCAGGGCCATCCTCAGCCCTTCTCTTTCTGTTTGCTGGCCTATGGCTTTACCTGCCATCTGGATGGAAATCCAACTCCACTCATCCAGCACCTGCCTGACCTCTCTCCTGAGCTCCAGTTACCCATCTAGCTGGGCAGCACCTTATGCTTCAGGCTCCCACCGGGAGGACCAGAGAGAGCCACGCCATGGCAAGAAAAGTGCCTTCCCAAGCCGCTGTCAGAAAATTCCCACCACCCTCTCCATGCCCTGGACCCGCTCCTCCATGTAGGTGGCCCCTTAATGTGGTGTCTTTGTGCAGAACACAACCTGCCAGCTCCAGGTGGTGCCCTCAGTGGCCAAGATGGGAACTCTCATCTGCCATCCTATGCACACAGTGTGGGGTCCAGCTGACCTATGGACCCTCCTGCATGGCCAAGCTCTTTATCACCTTCCCAAGTCCGCCTGCTGGTCTTCCAGCCTCTGTGATGCAAGGCTGACATCACTGACATCACTTGCCCTCATGCTCACCCCCTGCCTTTCATGCAGTCCTGCAGCAATGCCTCAGTTTACATCTTTGTGCTTTCTGCTGTGTATACTCAGCTTGATGCCATCCCCTCTCCTCCGTGGGCCTGGAGCCTCTCTGCAGTGTCCAGGTTTCATCTCGACATATGGGGACCTTCTCACCAGCCCCCCTGATTTTCCCAGAAGCTCTTTACCTGGCTGCTTTTGTCTCTTCCCATATGTGCAATGGGCTAGTTGTCACCTGGAATGTGACATCTCCCACTGGGTCATCAGGAGCTTCAGGGCGGAAACATTGCCTTCTTGTGGGTTCATTGTCATCAGACTTGGAGGGAGTGATGTCCAGTGGATACGGATTATGTCCACTAAACGGTTCATGTTTCTCACACGATCACTCCCAGCTTGAACTGGACTTGGAGGTCACATGGGGACAGAGGTACTTTCCACATGCATGTGGCCCATTCTTTGAAATGCAGCTTCTCTGGTCTTTCAGATATGCGCTCATCCATCCCAGAGAGTTCTGATGACAGGTTTCCAGTCAAGGCCCAAGCCAGTGGGCGCCCTCGTTCAGTCCCAGACATCATGGGGCCACAGGTAGGTGAGGTCTCACCCCATGGAGACAGCCCACCCAGTCCCTGGGGTGTGGGGGCAGGAGATAAGGTTTGGGGGTAGTGTTGACATCATCCCATTTTCTCCTCCTCCTCCTCTTTTGACAGTACTGGGGTTTGAACTCAGGGCCTCACACTTGCTAGGTATGTGCTCTACAACTTGAGCCACTCTGCCAGCCCTTTTTTGTGTTGGAAACTTTTTAAAAATGTTTTTTGGAGACGGGGTCTTGAGACCTATTTGCCTGAGCTGACCTCAAATCTCAGTTCTCCTGATCTCAGCCTTCCAAGTAGCCAGGATTATAGGCATGAGCCACCAGCATCTGTTTTGGTTTTTTTTTTAATGGTACCATGGTTTGAACTCACCAGGCAAATGCTTTACCAGTAAAGCCACACCTCCAGCTGTCAAACTGTAACAGTAAAAGTGGCTGGGCATGGTTACCCATGCTTGTAGTTCCAGCACTCTAGGAGTCTGCAGTAGGAGGACCCCTTGAGCCAAGAAGTGAGAAAACAGCCTTGTGAGACCACATCTCAAAAAAAAAAAAGTGTGAAACAGAATGAAGATAGTCTATTTTAGAAGGCAGGGCCTGGGGGTAAAATTAAAACAAGCAGATCCTCACAGTTCCTCTTTGGTTGGGGTAAGGGAGTAAGGGTCTTTGACCAGTCTTCAAAGTAATGAAGTGCTGGAGGAGAAGAGAAAAAAGAAAGAAAGGAAGAAAGAAAGAAAAGGAGAAAAAAAGAGGAGGTGTCTTGTGTCTGTGGCCAGAGAAGAGAAGAGACAGTGGGAATGATTTATACTCCTGTACACCAGAATACAAAGGAAGTTCTTTTTGGTTGAAGTCTGCTCTGTACTAAGATCAGTCCTGGGAGCTAAGTGAGCCCTGTCAAGCTAGTTCAAAAGTCTGTGTTGGGTATTTTTGAGACAGGGTCTTGCTTTTTGCCCAGGCTGGCCTCAAACCATGATCCTCCTGATCTCTGCCTCCTGAGCAGCTAGGATTACAGATGTGAGCCACCAGCACCCAGCTCCTTCCATACTTTGATAAGCTCCAAATGCCTCCTGACTCTCAGCAACTTCAGCCTTTCAAGCAAATACAAACCTTGCTTTCCTGTAGATTGGTTGAGCTCAGCACATAGCCTAAAAGAGAGTAATACTTTTCATAAGTTTAGAGTTCCCCAAGTCAAAGTTTTCTTACATTTTTAAAATTTATGATTCTCAATGGAAATGAATAGAATCAAAGGCACTTGTAACCCATAACTGCTGGTTTACTTACTGCATGCTATTTAATAAGAAATGACAATAAAATGAAACAGTTTTCTCCACAGGAGGAAAGCTATGTGTGATGTAAGAGCTGGCAGCTGTAGCAGGGTGCTAGTGGCTCACACCTGTAATCCTAGCTACTCAGGAGGCAGAGATCAGGAGGATCATGGTTCAAGGCCAGCCCAGGCAAATAGTTTGCGAGACCCTCTCTCAAAAAAACTCAACACAAAACAGGGCTGGTGGAGTGACTTAAGTGGTACAGTATCTACCTAGCAAGTGTGAGTCCCCGAGTTCAAAACTCAGTACCACCAAAAGCAAAAACAGAGTAGGCAGCCGTGAGTGAATCTGACACAGGCCTCGGTTTTCTGTTCTCCCTGGGAACCTGAAGTGACCCTCTCTAACGTCTGTGAGGTAGCAGTGCCGTGCTTTCTTTGGAACTTTTTGTTTTTGGACTCTAGCTAATGAGTTCACTCAAGGCCTCAGTGATCTGCGTTTCAGAGCCAGGGTTGGGTGTGCTGGTTGTCACCATGCTCAGATCAAACAAACAGCTGGGGAGAAATGTCTTTATAACCACAAAATGTGGTCCAAAATCCTGTCGTGGATGGCCCCTGCAGTTCTCAGGACAGTCACAGGGGGCATTGATTGTACTCTTTCTGCAGAATCTTCTCAGACCGGGACCTTTCCCAGAGGCAGTACCAGTCACGGACATTAAGACAGAGAAGGAGGAAATGCAGGAAAAGCAACACCCAGGCGGCAAGGTAGGTGTCTCCCCACGACGCCCCCTGTGCTCTGCATTCTCGTCCATCCAGACTCTTCTTGGGGCTCCATGCTAGAGGCCAGAGCACCTCTTTCAAGGTCTTTGGTGGCCAGTTTATTTGCAGTAACCAAACACAGTTTTTGAGAGGAAAATCTGCCTGCTTCCTTGGGTTCTCCCAGCCTCCACTCCTCATCGTGAGAGCGAGAGGCACTTTCCTCCGGAAGGGTCCATCCCTGGAGGGAGCTGCTGTTGAGCAGGAAGGATAGGAAGAGGAGAGGGCTGCTGTGGCTGCACCAGGCAGTTTGCAGGTCCTGCAGAGACCCCCCCACCCCACCCTTCACTGACCCTCGGAGCAGTGACCATCTAGCTCCTTACCCAATTCAACACTCGTTCACTTTGAGCCTCTTTCATTGGCTGGTTGGGAGGCAGGAGTGCCCTCATTCTGGCTCTGTTGAATGAACACAGGGCCGAGTAAAGGAGGGTTTATGGCTTTCCCAACAGAAACGTTTGATCAGATGAACGGGGACTGTCACTTGCAGTGACGGCTTGAGTTCCCTTAATGCTCTTCTGCTTTATGGGGAAAGGAAACCAGTCTATTACCTTGTCCTACAGACTCCACAGAGACATTAGAGGTAGAGCTATCTCAAATCAAGTCGCTGATTTGCTGGACACAAACGTGGGTGAATTGATCACTCTATTTAGGAAACCTCAGAGGTGTGGCTGTAAGAAGCAGGCAGCCCTCTCCATCCCGTTCTATCAGTCATCCTTCTCCCTGCAACCAAACACATCTACCTGCCTGCCCAGCCTCTGGCTCCCACTGCCCTCCCTGTTCCCTCCCTGTTACCACTTCTGACATCTTCTTCTACCTCTGTGAGTCTCGCACTGGAGGTGCTGAAGTTCTTTTCTGGTTTGCTTGTTTTTATAAATTCAAAAATTTATGTAGTCATGCGCCAATTAAAGCTGAGGACCTATCCCCAGGACTTTGTGGTTAGGAGATTTCACTGGGATAGGTGGACATCACCGTGGACCCTAGATGCCTGACATGCCTCACAATGTGGGCAGGAGACATGGTAAGCAAGGTGTGTGGGACTGCTGCTGGTGCAGCATGGCACACTGCTTTATAGTGGGCACTTAAAAAATTTTAGTAAACAGAAGTACCCTCTAAAATAAGAAGTCCAGGGTGGTGAATGCACAGTAAGCACCATTGTCACCTGTTATCGTCGCCTGTATGTTGCGTGTGATGGCATTGCTCTGCTTTATGTGCAGGCAGAGCGGTGAGTTTGCTTCCACCAGCATCACTACAAACGTGAGTGGTGCTTTGTGCCACGTTACGAGGTCACCAGCTGATAATCTTACGTGACCACTGTTGTATATAGTTTGTTACTGACTGAAATATCGCTGTGTAATTGATTTACCTAACTGCTATTGATCTTAGGATTTTCCTACGTGGAACATTTAAAAAATTATGTGTGCATTTTCTTGTCTGAGGGGTAATCGGTCATTCAAACACTGTTGGAGTTGCTCTTGTTGGTTAAGAATTCATCTTCAGGTTTTGAACTGCACGAAGACTGCAGACAGTCACCTGGTTGGGTTGGCAGTAGAAGAGTCAGTGGACTTGGGTCACCTCTGTCAAATAGGATGGCTGTTGGCTTGGCCAGCAGGGGGCGCACGGCCTCAGGTCTTGTCTGGTGGATTGCTGAAGATGTTTTCAGAAGCAGAGCATTAATTTCTTGAATTAACTCATGTATCCCAAGCTGTATTGAATGAGAATGCAATGTAATGACCCAAACCACGTTTTTCCACTTGGAATTTTCACGTACACGTTTTTAATTCCCCAAATTGAGGTTGTCTCTGTTTTTTCTTTGTGCTAATCTTTACCTGCGTAATATTTTCTCCTTAAAGGCAAAGACATTCTTTGCTGAATTTCTAGCCTAGCACCTAAAGTCACATATCTGCCGATTGTCAACTGAGATCAACACGGTAGAGTACTTCGTGTGTCAAAGGATGGAATGGGAAGAAAAATGCACAAGAGCTAAGTTTTAGGGCTGGGGAGTGGCTCAAGTGGTAGAGCACCTGCCTAGCAAGCTTGAGGTCTTGAGTTCAAAACCCCAGTACCTCAAAAAATTAAAAAAATACATGCATGTTTTACATAGTAGTTATGTAATTTATTTAGTCCAATTCCAAATTGACTAAATCCAGTGAGTCATTCATTCAGACTCATGGCAAATGATAATGGGACCTGACAGAAATCAGATATTTGTGGAACAAATCATGACACATTATTCATAACCAAATTCAGGGGTGGGTCTAGTGATTTTTTTCCCCATGGGAATATAACAGTTGGTGTCAATGCTACTATGCAGATAGCAGACTGGTAACGATTTTGAATGTAAGGAGAAACAGTGGCACCACGGAAATCATGCTTTAAGTAATTCTTCATCTCAGAACTTGTGTGTTTCCACAAAGGTAGAACAGGTGCTCAGCGATGGCCGGACGATCGTCACCTTTCCCAATGGCACCAGGAAGGAGATCAGCGCTGACAAGAAGAATGTGCTCATCAGGTTCTTCAATGGAGATGTGAAGAAGATCAAACCAGATCAGAAAGTGGTGAGAGCAATGAGTGTCTTGCAGTTTTTAAGGAAACCCAACTCCGTTATTAGGAAGCAGTTTGCACATGTGTACCCTTTATTCCAGTGCTTGTGGGAAAGGGGAGGGTTGGGGCAGAACACAGGCCCTTTTGTTAACGGGGCTATTCTACCTCTGCCTTGCACTTGGGCAAATGAGACTCCTCGTCAACATGAGGAACCACCAGCACCCCCACCTGTTCTGAATTCTTGTTTAGCAATTGTGGTTCATAACTAGGACTTAACTCAAAGATGGTCCCGGATAGAAATGGCCTAACACATTAACCAAACAGCACCACTCCTGCAGTACTGTGTAGAAACACTCAGCAAATGCGCGTGCTTCTCGGTGAAATTAGGCGGGCTCGGGAACCAGGACCTGTAGAGCTGGAGGCAAGGTAGACCAGATGGCTGTCTTCACAGCTGTCCTTCAGTCTCAGCTCCCATACGGTGTGGGATGGGGGGAGACGTGCCCTGCAGTAGCCCAGCTGGGTGGAACAGAAAGCTTGGACTTGGGAACACAGGGAGGGGGCTGTCACTGCACTGTCTCACCAGCTGTGCTCACAGCAAGTTAATTAATCTCAGCAAGCTCATTTGTGCCTCTAATAAAATCTGCAAATAGTATTAGACTGTTTCCCAACCGGGAACAATTTTGCTTCTTTCCCCACTGGACATTTGCAATGACTGGGGACATTTTTGATGGGTACTATCGGAGGTGGAGGGGCTTGTTACTGTCATCTAGCAGGTGGGGCCAGAGGTGCTGCTAAACATCCCAGCGTACAGAAGACCCCCCGCCCCCACACACAGTTATCCAATACTAAGACCCAAGGGTGGCAAGTCCCGCCATAGGTCACCATAAATTCATTCTGTACACAGATTGCTGGTGCAATTTGTACTGGGTAACCCAACCAGTAGTGGTGGCCCTGTGGATCTCCCTGGTAAAGGCAGATGACATATATACGGAAGAGGCAGCAGATCGTGGTGGGTGGAGCACTGTGTGATGATGGGAGCCACAAACGTGCTTGTGACTCAGTGGAATAAGCTCGGTGTCTGTGTTATGTCAGAGGATCATAGTGGAGAAAGTGACTTCCACAGACTCTGGAGGGTCGCGTTTGTCTGCATAACTCGGGGTGTAAAGACTTGGGAAATCCAGGTAGCTGGCAAATAATCCTGGTAGTGATTTGGTCTCCATGGTAATGGAGACCAGGGTAGGGTTTATAGTTTGAGAAGTCTCCGAGCACCAGAAGTTCACCAAACTGTATTCAAAGCATTTCCTTCCTTAGAGGGCTCTGTGCTGGGCTTCGAGCACACACTGAGCTGCGAGCGACTGATGATCTTGTTTCTATCTTACTTGTTTTAATGAAAATTGAGCCACTTGCTGCTCAGTAATTTTGCCCCACCCTTCCAGGGTGGGTGTTAGCATCCTGGAGTGCACACAGGGCTGTGGCATCGTTGACAGGTGCTCTTTTGCTGATCCACAGGTTTTTCCTCAGAAATGTGAACAAGGAGCCTGGACACCCATTTAAAGGGGGACTTTGATTATGTCACAGCCAGTGGGGGTAATATATGGTGGGGGGATTGTGACCTACCTCAGTCCTGTAAATTTCAAGTGCTGGATTTTCCTGTCTTTGGGTGAACAATTGTCATTTCATAGACAAACTTTAGGAATGGAGAGATTCAGAGAATGACAAACCTAAAAATCAATGAGAAAGGGACAGCAGGGAGAGGGTGACCCTGTGCAGGCTGAGGAAGGAAAGTCCTCGGCCTTGACCTTTGATCTGTGAGAGCGGGAAGTCATGAGGTGAGCCCTGGTGTGACCCATCGGGGGCACTAGACCCTGCTGCTCTCTGCCAGTGCCTCCATGGCCTCCAGAGGGAAAGTGGGGGACTTGCGGTAACAGGGAGAAATGAGTACTCCCCTCCTTCACCTGACCTCTGGACAAGTCACCCATTCAAGGAGGACGCCTTCAAATTCCTGAGCAGGGCGGCCCTGCCAGTCTCAGGACCACAGCTCTCCAAGGACATCAACCTTACGGAAATTCACTTGGCTATTCTCTCCCTCCTCATCTCTGGATGGGCAGAGATGTGGTTGCTGTCACAGAGGACTGACAGGAAGTGACCAACCAGGTGCTCTAACTAGAAGAGTACGACATCTCCCTCCCATGGACTCACTTTGAAAACAATCACATTCATTAATTACTTGTTTCTGAAGCCATACATTAAAACAAATTTCCCTTCTCCAGGTTGTGTCTAAGGCGCCCTCGGTCTTCGCACCGGCAGAATTACTCCCCTGCACAACCGTCCTCTTGTCTCCAGGCAGACACCCTCAAACCCCGAGAGGCAATCCTCTGTCACAGCCAAAACACACCCTTAGCCAGCCGCACACACATCCAGACTTGACAGGAAGGAACAGGAAAAAACTGGTTTCAGCCATAAAAGATGCCATGTGGACCTGAATTCACCCCAGAATCTCACCATCTTCTTGTGACACACAGCCCTACCTGCCAGCGCCCTCCTGGCCCCATCCACTTCTGACCCAGACTGCAGCTGGCCATAAAGGGAGCAAAGGAAGGCAGGCCCTCATCTCCAGGATGGACCCAGCTCCCTCAGAAAGGTCATGAGTTATCCCCACTCAGTAATGAAGTCCTCCTTTTCTCCTCTTACTCTTAACAGGGATCCTCGTCCTTTGTTTGGGTAAGAAGCTGATGTGGGAGCTCTTCCTCCTGGCTTCTCTTCTCTTTCCTTCACTGCACAGTCAGCTCTTGGTTTTGTTATTGGGTTCACGATTTTGAGAGTAGGAAAGAACCCAGTTTGGGCCAGAAGTTGATAACACTCTTCCATAACCATTCTTTACATTCCTCCTTTCTCCCTTCATTGGAAACGGACGGGTGCCATGATTATTCACATCTGGAAACTTCACGATCCAGGGGTGGTCCTTCAGACACAGTCCCGTGGACATCTGATGTGCTGGAGTGGATTTTCTCTCATGCACCGCCAGCAGGATCTTGGTCTGAGAGCTGGGGGATTCATGGTGGTGGGGCTCAGGGCTGAAGCCCACCATGCCTGGACTGACCTGCTACAGGTCTCACAAGGCACTGAGGCTCACCACAGGTTACTGCCTACCCAAGTGCAGGACTGAGCTACACTGGATCCTATAATTTCTCCCACTAACTAGCATGCCAGTGTTGTCATTTCTGGGGCATTAGTAACAAGTTCTTCTCCTGGTATCCCATGATGGTGGATGCCCTCTTGGACATGGCCCAGCCTCTCCTACCTGCCAGGATCATACCTGTAGCCATGCAGGTGTAATTTACCAGATTAAATTCAGGCTCACGACTGAACGAAAACTGCATGCTCACCTGGTTTTCCTGGTTCTTACAGGTTTATTACTATGCAGATGCTCAGACAACACACATCACCTACCCGGATGGTATGGAAATTGTGCAGTTTCCAAACAACCAGACAGGTGAGTGACACCGTCCTAAACCAGCCTAGTCACCTGCCTTCTGTGTGCGAGTGTTGTGGATGATGGGTGTGGAAACCCCAGGTGTCGTGGATATCCATCGTTTAGGTAAGTTTTCCATGGCAACAATTGTCCAGATAATTCGATGCTCAAATTGCTCAACGAAGTGCCAAGTATGTGTTCTTTATGGAATCTTAGCTAGCAACAGACAGCTGCTTCTGTGTGGTCTGTATGTGCACCAGCCTCTACCAGTGCTGTCACCAGGGGTTGGTCAGGATCCAAGGAGAACCCTGAGAGGGAGGGACCTTAACTTGGGCTGTGTAGGTCCTTGTCTCTGATGCAGAAAAGAATTTCAGCCCAGAGCACAGGTGAGAGACTAGCAGAGTTTTATTTAGCAAGCAGAGAAGCAGAGACACACTTCCTAGGCAAAGTGTGGGGATTAAGAGGAACACAACGAGCCTAGTAACATCAGGAATACATTCACGCACACACACACACACACACACGTATAAGAAGGTATTTTTTGGGAGGGGGTTAGCTTAAGCATTCCTTTAGATAAGTACTCCCCTGTTCCAGGTGCCTGGTCCTTTTCAATCATTCCTGCTGCTACAGTGTTTGACATTATCAGCTTGTCCTGAAGACATTATGTCTTGGTCAATTTTATTAAGTCTGGGTTGTTGTTGGGTTATAGAAATGTAAGCATTTCTATAATCAATGAAGTCATTTCACCAAACATTTCTCTCAAGATAATATGTTTCTTCAAGGCATGCCTGCCCAGTTCCCAGGGCATGCTAGTCACCTGGCCAAAGCCGGGGGTGTGGTCTCTCCACTGCACACCACAGCGCAGTGGGACGGGGGTGTGGGACCAAAGGAAGTTCTTTTTTGAGGTAGCACCTGGACGCCGAAGGGCCAGATTCCTCTGGGTAGACTTGGAGTTTTCAGGCTCTGTGAACTTGCTTTGCCTCACCATAGTATATTTCATCTCTTCTCATTTAGATTTCTACTTTTTATATTCACGATTTGGATGTTTTCAAAGAGCCCAGCTGTCTGGCTGGGGCAGACTGTTAGCCTCCCACTGAGAGGACACTCAGTGTCATCATTGCCATCAACCTCACTGCTGTCATATCCCAGAACTGAAAATGGGGGCTTGTCTCTGGAGTAGCTCCCAGACAGCATGATCATAAACACAGGCTACATCCCGAACTTCACTGTCCTTGTGGTTTCCCACCATGGGTCTGAGTGTGGGGCGTCTGTCTTCAGAAGCTGCTCTATGTGTCGAAATGAACAGGGCGCCAGCCTTGGGCTGAGCCTGTAGTCTCCATGAGACTGGGCACCAGGGCAGATGTGCAGCCAGTGCCCTGTCTCCTGATTGCGGCCCAAGTGTCTCCGGGAGCTGTCATGCTGAGGGAAGGTCCGGGCTGTGGCTACCTCCTGGTCATTGCCAGTCACGCCTGAGCAAGCCCGCTAAGCTGTGGGTAGCATCCAGAAGCTGCAATGAAGGCTGGAGTACAGGTCAGACAGTCTGCGCCATCCACAGACTGTTCCTTGAGGGGTGCAGCTGGGCCACAGCACACAGTTCCTGCTTTGGAAGCCCACAGAGGTGAGAGTGGCACTGTGGATGCTGCCGAGGAAGTCTTAGATTTGCCACTTAAGAACCAGACGTGTTCTGATCAGTAAGTGGAATCATTTAGGTTGGCTTCCCAGCAGTCATAGTTCCTCTGAAGTCTTGTTTTCAAGGTAGGCTATGAGCAGTTCGAGAAAAGGGATAGTTTCATCTGGATTTCATTCTTTAGATTCCTTCTTCTATTTTTAGAAGTCAAGCCATAATCATGAAACAAAAAACCTAATGCCAGATTTTACGTAGAAAGACCACGCTGTTGTTTTTGCCATTGTGGCACTGGGAGGGGAGGGTCAGAATCCAGCGGGTGCTACTGTGCAGATGAGTTCAGAGAAATGCTGTGCAGCTGGGCCACCTGTGTGTGATCCTTGCTGGGGACCCAGGCAGGCAGCTTCCTGCACCTGAGTTAAGCACCATCCACTGGATGGCGAGGGAGTCAGAGGACTAGTCCATGGGCGTCACCCATGGTCCCCATGCAGTGTGCAGAGCGGGGCTGCCATGCTCACTGGCTCCAAACAAGGGAGGCACTGTTGGTGTTTGGGTCTGGGAGGAACAGGACTCCTCAGAGCAGGTCTCTCTGAGGACCATGCATCTAGACTCCATGTCACGGCCATGACAGCAAATGGATGCTCTGGTTTGGAAGCTATGGCCGTATTCCTTCTTTTCAGAACCTGTGACCAGCAACCGTAAACATGTTCTGTGGCCCAACGAGTTGGTTTGGAAAGTCCTGGATTAGGCGAAGCGGTGGGCTTTGTTCCTGCAGTTCTCTGGGTCTTTAAGTGCTGGAGACGGTGGCAGGCATGGTGCAGTTCTTAGGGACATGGGCTAAAGTGTCCGGGGAACACCTTTCAAAAAGATTTAGTGCAAGTTTTGTTCTTAATTTCTAACTGGGATCTTTGAAAGTCCAACAAACAGGGTTACTTTGACATCCTTTGAATCCGCGGCTCACCACATGTGTTTAAATTCCAGCTAAGACCTGTGTCTCTTATGAGTCTAGGTCTTCCTCACCAAAGAACAAGTGGCAATGCTTCCTGTGGTCATTGCTCAGAACTCAGTCTCTGAGTTACTCTTACCGTCCTCTCCTGGGTTACTCCTGAAACACTCGTGGGGCAGGGGTGGGATGGGGTGGGGTCGGGGGCAGCCTTCTTTTCCTGGGCCCTGCTCTACCAGGGCTGACTTCCTGGCTAAAGGCCTCTACTATGGCTGTTGACTGCTTTTCCATCCTCTGCAGTGGCCAAGGGTCTACATTTTAAGTAAGAGATTTTATAAACTGTGATTCCAAGGACGTTTGCCAACTCCAAAACGCAGTGTGAAAATTCTTCCCAGCTACGTTCTTAGGGCCTTGGCAATGACCAAAGCCGGCCCTCTAGTCGGAACCTGTGATCTCTCTTCACAGGTTCTCTGTCCATCTGTCTCCATCTTTGCAAGATGTTCCATCTCTTTGGATCGCCATATGTGTGTAGTTTCCTGCCTGACCTGTAGCAACAGGAATGGTTAAATCAGAAGTGTAACTTCCTGTTTTCAGGGCTGTCTGAAGTGGATCTACACTGGGCTGATCTGTGCATGTGTGACACAGCCTTTGTGATGTCACCAATATCCTCCTGGACTCCTGCTCATAGTCAATTTTCAAGTCACAGGAAAGGGTGCAAGAGTAAAAGTGCCCTCGGCAGTAGCAGCACCCATGGTGGGTTGTGAAGAGCCACCAGGTTCCTCCATCATAGGACCAGGCACCTCCATCTGTGTACAAGTGAAGATTTGTTTGTTTAATTTAAAGGGCTCATTGCTTTGCTTGCACAGCACTCACCCACAGAAGTGTTTTGTATTGGTTAAACAAATAGCCTGCAAATGAGTCTAAGTTCACTCCCTACTCCAGTTTTCTCGCAATTAGATGATTGCTTGCCCCCACTCACTAGGAAGTATGGATAATCAGCCCAGAATGGCTCTGCAAAGCCAGGCTGGTGTCGCATAGAAATACCTGGTGGGGACAGAGGCCCTGCCAGGGCCAAGCACTGCACAGATTCAGATATTGGGTCATAACGCAACTGGGTGTTCCGAAAAAAGATGAAATATTTATGCTACAATCTGTGATACTGGAAGTGAGTCTTCCCCCCATTGTAAGGTTGTCATTCTGGTTTTTTGTATTTATAATGAGGACACGCCTTGTATTCTGAAAATGTGGCCTGCGTGGCTCCTAGTTCCTTTAAATTTCACTATTTTCAAGTCCTGGCTCTGTGTATGCTTGAGAAGAATGTGTGACCTCTAATTACCCTACCTTCTAATTAGTAGGTCAAGATTCTGGGTTATTTACAAAGCCCTGAGTTCAAGCCCCGATCCCACCAAAAAAAAAAAAATTCTGAGTTATCCAACTCTTTTTTTTTTTGCTCTAAATTTTTAAATTTTTTATCTGTTTATTTTAATGTAATTTCCAACTTACAGAAAGGTTCAGGAAAGTGGAGAAGACTCCGATATACCTGTACCTACATCCAACAGTTTTTAACCCTTTGCCACATTTTTAAAGTTATTCTTTCCCTCTGTGTACATGAATGTGTGAGTGGGTATATATATGTATACACATGTACCACTTACAATCCCAAACTCCCCAAGAGAGCAATGGCAATGGCAACACCCTTCTCAGCCTTCCCACTCTGCATGTCAACAGTCACTGGACTGTGGACTGGGTCCTACTGCCCAGGGTGAGCTCCGCACGTCTGCGAGGACTGCATCTCTAAGTAGGTCTTACCCAAGTTTCTGAGGGCTGGGACATCACCAGGTGACTCTGAGGGGCACAGCTCAACCTTCACAAGCTCCAAGGATCTCTTCTTGTTCTGCTCGTGCTTGTGCTGTGTAGATCTATGTAATCATATTTTTATCTGAATTATAAGATGCATAGCTATTATTGAATATTGGATAAATTTCCTTGATATACAGGAGATTACCTCCTGGTTTCACCAAAATGTTACTGGTGGATGGTCTCTGAAGACTCTGGTCAAATTTTTAGGCTCTTTCATCTCACAGGAGAATTCAGGCAGGACTAGAAATGTAGTGAGAAGGATAACAGAGTTTATGGAAGATGAGGGGAAGGCATTGCAAGAGAAAGCAATGGTGGTGGGTCCCAGCCAGGAGGGATGGAAATGTGGCCAGTCTTCGTTTTAAAGGGCCTTTATAAACTGAAAGGGCAAATGGTGGGAGGAATCTGGTTGGTCTTTGTGGGATGGGCTAGGGTGATTGGCAGGTGTGATTGACAAGGTCTTGTCACACAAACACGGGGCCCTCCGCTAACTCTCAGGTATTTTATGACATGTATGAGGTGCGATCAGCATTTGTGTCTTAAGCAGAGGACTCTTACCTGAGAGGTAATCAAGTGTGGAATTTCCCCAAGACTTCCTGTCTTTGGAGAAACTCACAACTGTGACGATTGAAATTGAAGGAGACTGCTAAGACGTTACAATTGGAAAGAAATTTATAACTGCAAAGAATGGCCCGGGGCTGAGACAAAGAGTTGATCATGAAGTGCTCTCAGGGGAATTGCATGGGAGGTCTCCTTCCCCGTCACTAGCCTGCCTCGATTCCGTGCGTAGGAGCTTTGCAGTGTGTTTCTGGTAACATCGTGCTTACGGCGGTCTTGGAGCTTGCAGGGTCTCTGCTCGGTTGTCTCTGCTGGTACTTCCTCAGGGTGCCGCATTCCCTCACTCTTCCCATAGTTTGTATTATATGGTCCTATGGGGCCCAGACTGGGGCTGTCCATCCAGAAAGCTTTCTGTTCGCTTCTGCCAGGTGTCCCAAGCCCTGCAGCTTGAGTCCACTTCCTGCTTATTACTTGCTCTTGAATGTCCCGAACTCCACAGGTAGCAAGACTGAAATTGCTAAGCCTACTTGAGAGTCAGACTATAGTTACAAATTCTCTGGAGAGCGCTCAGAGAGAGGCAGACATGTTCCCTGGTGATCACCACTTGGTCACCGTAGATATTTAGAGGTCACCCCTTCTTTGAGAGTGGCACCTTGAAGCATGGGCTCAGGTTCAATTCCTAGGATGAAGGCTTTGTGTCCTATCCCTGCAGAGCTGCTAAAAGCTGAGCAGAGGCCAGCAAGTGACAAGGTCAGTGGCAGCATTGTTCTGTTCTGGTCTACTTTTTTAGCAACCTCAGTGAATTTGGGCCCCCTCCATGAGCCTGGATATGCATTTGAAAGGGTTTTGTATCATTTTATTTAGTATTACTAGATATTTTGTAGTGGGAGAGTTTGTAAAACATCCACCGCGCCACACTGCCAAGAACAGAATGAAGCCATCGTTGACCGAGTCACCATCTGGGCTGTGATGGAGCACTGGGCTGTGATGGAGCACTGGGCTGGTCCACAGTATGGTATCGCTGGGTCTCGGGATGCATCAGTCAAGCTCAGCTCCTGAGCCTTTTTCCTTGGTCTTAGTTTTTCAGCAAGTGCCATTGTGTGTCTTCTTTGGACTTTTCCATCACTGTCTGTCATTGAGGTTCTGCCGAGGCCGGTGAGCACAGAGGTAGACAAAAGAGCAATTGCTTTCTTCAGTGACTTCCGCAGACCCTTGACAATGAAAAATTACACTTGACTGTTCACAGACACCCTGTTAGGTGACTGATTAATGCTAATCAGGTGTGGTGAAAATGAAGAGCATTTCATAGGCCTGTATTTTCTCTGAATCTCAGCTGGTCCACCTAGAAAGTCTCTACAGTATCAATTTTATAGCAGAAATTCTATGTTCTGTTATTGTTAGTTATGTTTATTGTTAGATGCGTTTATCTTATCTTCAGCACTTCTGCCATGACTGATAGTTCAAGAATGAAGTGAAACAAAAGCTCCATTGTTTCCCCTTCTTGCCATTTTATAGGTTCAATTGGATTTTTGTGTGTGTCATATGTGTTTATGTCATGAGTCAGCAAAGACCTTTGGTACATTTAGATAATTCGTAGATTTTCTAACTATTGACCCAAAGAAAAGCCCCCAACTTCTCCAGTGTCCTACACCAACTCTACTTAGAACACTCTTTTACAGTTTTGTGCTAACCATTATTTTGAGGGGTAAAATTTTCTTCGGCTCTGATTGTCATGTTGGTTTTTCCTGTGCACTCAGTGCTGCCACTGTCGGCCAGCAGCTGATACAACACACAATAAAAAAGCTAATGGACAAATTGAAACCAATTAAGGAAGTTTAATCCAGCCACTCTTCAACATTCAAATGGTTTCGACTTTTTCCTTGTGCTCTGGCACCTTGTTCTGGTTTCTGATACACTTAGGTACTGACACTGCAAGTCAATATGAAAAGGTAAAAGTGTGTGTTTGCATCAGTAAGGGCCAAAGGCATCCAGAGGCCAGAGTGGGGGCTAGTAATGGACCTGGACTACACGTGTAGGGTTTGGAGAGTCAGAGAGCAAATAAAGGGAAGGAAAAATTTCAGTCAGGGCATTCATTTGAGCAAAGTTGGGAGAATGTAAATTTTATGTTTTAATGAGGCCAAGGAGATGTGTCTGCCTGGAGCAAGCTCATCAAATCAATTAAAAAATGGTAGCGTGGGATGCAAAAACAAGCCTGGAATGTTATCTTGAGGGAATATAGGTGCTTTAGTCCATTCAGGCTGCAATAATCCTAAACCAGGATGGGCCACAGAAATGTCTTCCTCATAGTTCTGGGGCTGAAGTCTGTGACCAAGGCACCAGCAGGCCCCGTGTCCAGTGAGGACGACTTCCTGGTTCACAGATGTGCCTTCTGGCACAGCGGAGGGAACAGGGAGCAGCTCTGTGGGTCCCTTCATGAGGCTCCTCCCCCACGATCCAATCGCCTCCCAAAAGGTCTCACCTCCTAACACCATCACTTTCGGGGAGGGTTTAGGTTTCAGCATATGAATTGTGGATGGGGGATATGAACCCCTCAGACCATAGCAGAGTGAATCACCATAAAATATATTTGAGCAGTCAAGTGGCATACAGATGCTCTAGTTTAGGAAGGCACATTTACCAAAGCGCAAAGATAGATACGTATGTCGTTTACATCCCGACGGTGACAGTGAAAGACAGCAAGACAGCAAGCGTACAACCAAGGTTACCCTGGATTTCTCTCCATTATTTTCCTATGATATTTGACTCCTTGATCTTTTGTTGTTAGTAGGGTGCCACATTTAGCATAAAAAGATTCAGGACTCCCATTTAAATTTGAATACCAAATTTTAAAAGATTCTTTAGATAAAAATGTGGTCCATGCAGTATTTGGACAATACAGATGTTTTCACAAGGGTCCGTCCCCATAAACCTATTGTATGTTGAAAATGTTGTAAGTCGAAAAATGCATTGATAGGGTGGGTGTGATTCAGCGTAGAGCACTTGCCTGGCATTGGAGAGGCCCTGGGTTTGATCCCCGCTACTGAAAAAGAAAATAGCACTGACCTCACCTAATGTGGTGAACGTCACAGCTCAGCCGCACAGCACACTCTGTGGTGCCAGCTGCTGGACCTCTGGGTTGCAGGCCCGACCAGCAGACATGGCCCACTGCTCCTGCCCCTTATCAAGAGAGGATTATACCACAATCAATGGCTTGGGAAAGGATCAAAGTTCAAAATCTGAATTCGGTTCCTATTGAATATGCGGCACTTTCTCATCATCAGAAAATCAAAAAACATAAGTTGAAACATTACAAATTGAGGACTACCTGTGTTAATGCTAAAAAGTATTCATTTTCTGAAATTTGAGTTTAACTGGGGCATTCTGCATTATATCTGGCAATCCTATGCATAAACTTACATGATTAGGAAATAGTCTCTTTCTAAGGAACTCATTAGTGCTTTCTCTGTAGATCATTCATATATGACACTGTTTGTAAATATATTCAGTGTAACACACATTAAAAATTTATTCTGACCAGACTAGAGCTTTAAATGGCAAACTGCTGAAATAACCCCCATCTTCCACGTACTTCTCCCCACAGGTCTACCCTACTGCAGTTTCCCCTTTGTCCTGTCACCTCTCTACAAATGACCCATTCTTTATTAAGGTTCTATCTAAGCCCCAAATCTTATCCACCCACGTTTCATAATGGGTTTCTCCTCTGTGTGTGTGTGTGTGTGTCCTGAACGTGTAAATATACTCTGTTTTTTCTCCTCTTTAAAATAATGTATTATACAGAAAAATTCTACCCTGATGGCTCCAAGGAAACAGTGTTTCCAGATGGGACAGTGACATGGCTCAAGAATGGGTGTGAGAAGACCGTATTTCCAGATGGGACGACTGTAAATGTGAAAAGGTTAGTATCCTGTCAGACTCTGTGAATCCAAAACACCACCAATTTTTGGTTTGTGTATCCAATTATTTATAATAATTTAGAGTTTTGGTAAGTTTTAGCTACTTAAATATAATAATAGAAAATAAAGCCATTAACCCGAAAAGGTTTGTCTTATGACCTTGATTTGAATCTCTTTGTGGATAAGAATCTTTTTGTGGATAAGTGGCTTTTAGGGACAGTCATGTGTTATATGATAACATTTTTGTCAGTGTTGGACTGCATAAATGATGGTGGTCCCCTAAGATTACATGGCCTCATGATGTCAGAGCATCTCACACTCACCTCGTGATGTCAGAATCTTCTGATGACACACTTCTCAGAATGTGCCACCATCGTTAAGTGACAGGACACTCTTAACCCACTGACGTTGCTTGAACTGCACTCCTAAGAGCAGTCCAGGTTTCAGCAGCTGCCTCCCTCAAGCCATGTTGCCTAGAATTTCAAGTCTAGGAGGAAAAGTGTAAACAGTGTGTAAGTCGCACCTGGACAGTGCTGGTCAGAGTCACTGTCTCACGGCTGGGGTGTGCCGAGAGTGAAGTCTAGGAGGCCATCACTGTCCCTCCAATTGCCTGAGTGAGAGTTTGGGAATTTGCCTTAGGTCTCCCCCTGACTTCACGCAGCATTTGCATGACCATGGAGTGTCATGGATGCATCTCCTCCTTGGCCTTGACCTGTTTGTTCCTCCAGTCCTGGTACCCATGAACTCGCTTGGCCTGGAATGGGTCCAGTTTCTGTGGAGGCAGCGGAGCAGTCCCTGCCCCCAGGGGCCCTTTCTCCGTTGTGCTCCTGGCATGTCCCTTGCAACCCTGCTGTCTCCTCCCACCGCCGTCTCAAGCTGTCTGCGCGAGGCTCAGGTTCTGCATGCGTAGACCCATCTCTGGCACTCCCACCTGCCTGTCCGCGGCCATCCTGGGCTACCTCAGTGCCCTGAGCCCCGAGCACCCTCCCTGCTCTCACCCGGGACAGTGTGTCCTCATCTCCCAGGGGTGGCTGGGAATCCGGATGGCATCCTGGAGTCATGTGTCCCCACTTGCTCCTCACTTCCAGGGCTGGGCTTCAGCACAGCTCGTCTTACCACGGTGTTTCTTCCCCACCAGGAATGGTGACAAAACCATCATGTTCAGCAATGGGCAGAAGGAAATCCACACAGCCCGCTTCAAGAGGAGGGAATTCCTCGACGGCACTGTCAGGACTGTGTACTGCAGCGGCTGCCAGGAGACCAAGTACGCCTCTGGGAGGGTCAAGGTCAAGGATGAGAGTGGGAACATCATCCTGGACTGGAAGTAGAGCGTCCCTCGGACTCTACATTGGCTGCAAAACTCTAGTTACAGCTTTTGCTAAAACTGAGACAAGAACTGCTAATGTATGTGTTAGCTGCCCCAGATGATGTCGGAGATCCCCCAAGTCATCTAGAAATTGTAAAGAGGCTCTAGGGCCTGTTTAGGAAAAGTCATCAGAGTTGCTCACGAGGCTCACAAATGCACGAGGTCCAGGGCCCCGGCCACACTGAGTCCTCTTCATTCTCACGAAACCTGTTCTCCCTCACTCTGGCCACAACCTCATCTGTTAATTCTGGGACCAGCAATTGCCACCACCAAGCCCCTCTGGCTCTGCTCCACCCATTCCAACCTTGCCCAGTTCTTCAGAATCCTAGTTGCCCAGCCTGGCTGGCTCCCTTCCGTGACCCTCAGCCCCCTGCACCCACATCCTTGCTAGGCCAAAATGCCACGCCAATGACCCGGGGAAGACTGACCAGGGTTAAATGAGCATAGTGACTGTGGCCTGTGGCTGTCTGGGAAATGGGCTACCTCCTCGAACTCTTGACTGTGTAATCCCAATGTAAAAACATTGACCACTTCTGTTGTTTTGCAGGCTGTCTAAAAAATGCAAAAACAAATTGCCAGTCCATGAATTTTTATACTGAAATGTAGGAATAATTTCTTGAAAATCTTATATGATGTAGGCTTATTCATTTTTTTTCAGAAGGTATTAGTGTTTTTGTGTGAAGGACATGAAATATCATATCTTAGTGCCAGCGAATATTTTTAATTATTTTGAAATATATTGTGTGTTCATGATTGTAGTTCTCAGTATTTTGGTAATGCTATTTAAAGTAACTGTCTTGGCTTTGAGGCGGGGAAAAGGATTCTCTACTGCAATTACCCTGGATGGAGGTCTGTTCCTTTTGGATGAATGTCAATCAGGGCAAGGACATTTGTGAGCTATGACTGGCCAAATGAATCTACTATTGGAAAAAAAACCTTTTGGTTTGGCTGAAAACAAGGACTTGCCAAATGTTTCAGTTATTTGGAATTGGCTTATGATTTGAACTAAGGCAAACAAAACAGAACAAAACAAACACTATTCTACTGAGTAAACTGACTTATTGACGGTGGGAGGCTGGGAGGAAGCTAACATGTGGTCGTGTCCGGAGGCCCGTCAAGCACCAGCTGGCCTGCCTGGTCGGTTATTTCATTGAGTATAATCTTCAGTTCATGCCCCATAGTGAGGTGTGCAAAATCTGTAATTGAGATAAGATGACCTGACTGTGGGCATTCTACCGGCGGCTCTAAGAGGGTTGTACACTCTGCCACATTGGAAACACACTACTGATATGACTGACACCCCACTGTCCCCAAAGCCAGACTTCACTTTTAGCTCCACATTGGCTGTATAAATCTGACACACAGTGTCCCTCGGTGCTCTAGTGTGGATCTTGAATGTCCCCAAAGGCCATGTGATGAAGGCTTGGTCTCCAGGTGGTTCCTTTAGGAGGTGGTAGAGCCTCTAGGAGATGAGGTGTAGGGGGAGGTCCTCAGGTCATGGGAGTGTGAGGACCTCATCTTTCTCTTCCTCTTTTGCTTCTGGATGTGAGATGAGTGACTTTCCTACACGCTGTTGCCCCGTTGTGCTGCCTCGCCACAGATCCACAAGTGATGGGCCAAGTGACCACGGACTGAAATCTCTGAAACCATGAGCCAAAAAGACTCTCTCTCTCTCTCTCTCTCTTTCTCTTTCTCTCTGTCTCTCTCTTCAGATGCCAGCCGAGGGTTTATTGTGAAGAGAAACCCTATGGAGGGGAATTTCCAGCCAAATCCAGAATCCCACTGCTGCTCGCAGACTTGGGGTAGATATAAGATATGGATGGAGAAGTCCCAAGAAGATCAGGGGGCAGGAAAATCCTCAATGGCCCTCTGACCCTCCTGAGATAATGACTTCAGGGCAGGCCATTTCTTCTAGGCCAGGTGGGGAGTTTCTAGTAAGTGGCTAAAGGTAGATGTCTATTTTTCTTTAGGGCCAGGTGGAGAGTTTCTGGTAAGTCACCTTCAAGGGAGCGGGGCTCCAATTCTAACATGGCTTCCTGTGGTTCACCCTAACATTCCTGCCTTTTGACATACATAGATCTGAAAGGGAACGGGGTGCTGATGTTCCTGTATCTTCTTCTTGCTGAATGGGGGTGTTGAGGTATCTTAAAGGGAGGGGATGTCGGTAGGGTCTTCTTGCTTTAGGAGACTGCAGCGGGCCTGTTGGAGGAATAGAACTGAGTTGATCTGCTTATGGTAGTGTCCTGGAGCCTCTGGGAAACAGCACGGAAGAAAAACCCTTCTCTTTGTAAGGCGATTAATTTCAGTTGTCAATAGTTATGGAAAGCTGACCAACACATTGAACATCCACACTGGATTGCCTCCAGGATGCCCTAGGACTCCAAAATACAGAGCTCAAGTTCCCCTATATAACATGGGGAAGTACCTCATAAGTCCATGTCCACCCTCTCATGGGTTTTAAGCAGTCCTGCATCATTTATAATACCTAACACAATGCAAGTGCTATGGAAGTAATTGTGGTACTGGATTGTTTTAGGGAATAATGACAAGAAAGTCTATGCATGCTCGATACACATGCAATTTTCAAAAAATATTTTCAATCTGCAGTTAGTTGAATCCTCAGATGCAGATTCCATAGAAGCTGAGGTCTGACTGTATGCATAAAATTAATTTTGGGGGTGTATGGACGTCCACATGTTTTCAAGGTGTGCCTAAGCACGTGTAGTTGGTCAAAAAGGGAGTATTACACAGAGCATGGTGGTACATACCTATAATCCCAGCTCTCAGGAAGCCCCGTCAGGAGGATCACAAGTTCAAGACCTGCCTGGGTGATCTAGTGAGACCGTATCTCAACAAATAAAGGGAGGGAAGGTACCTCAGTCGTGAGACCCCGGGCTCAATCCCCGGTACCTCAAGGAAAAGAAAAGTGAAGCATAAAGACATCATGGAACAACAATGGAACATTCAGGTCTAGAAAGTGGAATGAGTCAGCCAGAAGTTGTAGAGGGAGGAACAGTGAATAAGGAGCCAAAGGCCACAAAGTTGTTCCCGTCTGGGCCACTGTCCATGGTGAGTTTGGAAAAGCCACTCCGCTTCCTCTGCTCCCTTTCCTCTCACCCTGCCACACTGGGACCAGCCACAGAGCAATCTCCCCCGTCCCTGGTGCATGCAGGATGCTGGTGCTCCAGGCCATGCTTGGTCACCCCCACCCTCCTCCCACCCCTCTGAGGCTCTGCACTGTCCTAAAGAACAAGTCCCTCTTCAGAGCATGGCATTGGGTTCTGTGACCATCTGGCCCAGCTATGAACTCCTGCTCCTGCCTCTTCTCTCATCACTCCCCATAGTCCTCTCTGCCCACGCCACACTGCCCAGAGAGCCCTAGGACCAACCAGCCTCATCTGGGCCGCCATGTCTATCCTCCAGAGACCGTGTGGCTACCACTCTGCAAAGCCTGTCTGGGCATCCCACCCCTCCCAGGTAGGTCTCCCCAAGTGCTCCACGCCCCGGCCCCTCTGTAATTTTCCCATTCTGTACCCCAGACACCTGTCCACTATCGAATCCTCCAGCAGCCCAGACCACATTGAAGGTGGCCGTCAGCCTTCTCCACCTTCCACTTCCCGGTGTCTGGAGTAGAGAGTGTGGCCGGGTGTGGGTTAGAGGAGTTTGTCTTTGAGCATTTGAAAGTTAGTTCCAATCAGGTTAAATTTCCTTAGTTAAAAATATAATTTTAGATTTTACCATGACTGATTGTTTTGGACAAACACCTTACCCAAAAGACAAACATTTTTTACTCAGCTTCTTACCCTCTTACCTGAACCTATTCTATTGATTTATTCGCTCGTCTATAACTAATTTTCATACCTACCTAGAATTTTAGTATAATTATGTTGGTATCTTCTCAGGTTCTTTTTTTTTTTTTTGTAGTCGTTTACTTTTTGCTCTGCCTAAAAGAAAAAAAAAAAAAAAACCCTTTAATTGGACTAGCTGTGGGTGTGGCAATGGTGAGGTTCACTTCGTCATTTCCACCTCAGTGATTTAAACTCATGTCACAGGTCACTCAGCTTTTACAGTTAAAAGGGACGTGCTGCATTAATTACCATTCTTGCATTTTTGCATTCATACTGTCCACAAAAGTTTTGGTTTTCTGCAACCTGGAACTGGGGCCATATTATAATTTTCATTGCTTTTATGGGGTCTTTTTTCCATTAAAAATTAAAAAATTAAGCTTTATTGTGGCCTTTGAGTTAATAAAGCATGTTATCTTTTTCTTTTCTTTCTTTTTTTTTTAAAGAAACCAAGATGCCCCAGCACTGACGAATGGATTAAGAAAATGTGGTATCTATACACAATGGAATTTTATGCAGCCATGAAGAAGAACGAAATGTTATCATTCGCTGGTAAATGGATGGAATTGGAGAACATCATTCTGAGTGAGGTTAGCCTGGCCCAAAAGACCAAAAATCGTATGTTCTCCCTCATATGTGGACATTAGATCAAGGGCAAACACAACAAGGGGATTGGACTTTGAGCACATGATAAAAGAGAGAGCACACAAGGGAGGGGTGAGGATAGGTAAGACACCTAAAAAACTAGCTAGCATTTGTTGCCCTTAATGCAGAGAAACTAAAGCAGATACCTTAAAAGCAACTGAGGCCAATAGGAGAAGGGGACCAGGAACTAGAGAAAAGGTTAGATTAAAAAGAATTAACCTAGAAGGTAACACCCACACACAGGAAATCAATGTGAGTCAATGCCCTGTATAGCTATCCTTATCTCAACCAGCAAAACCCCTTGTTCCTTCCTATTATTGCTTATACTCTCTCTACAACAAAATTAGAGATAAGGGCAAAATAGTTTCTGCTGGGTATTGAGGGGGGGAGCGGGAGGGGGTGGAGTGGGTGAAAGGAGGGGGTGGGGGCAGGGGGGAGAAATGAACCAAGCCTTGTATGCACATATGAATAATAAAAGAAAAAGGAAAAAAAAAAAAAGAAACTAAGACACTTTGATGGGCTCCTAAAAGCGTGTGGCCCTCATGTGCCTGATGGAGGAGCCTGTACCCCCACCCCCCAGGCCGGTCTCTCACCTCATAGCTTTGCGTCTCCCTTCGTTAGCGTCCCTAACCTGTGGTCCTGCCATATGACATGTGAGCAGTGCTGTCACTGTTTTCAGGAACACAGCATCAATCATGGGTCCTTTGCTGAGGCCAGAGGAATCCCCTGGAAGCCCCATCCAGGAGAGGTGGGGCTCAGCCAGCAGGTGGGGCCATCCATGCTGACTGTGGTTTTGGCTTTTGGCTCAATCCTCACCTGTTCCTGGTCCCCTTAGCTTTTGCATGGTTCTCTAAGCAGCTAATCTGCTCATACAGATTGATATCCATAGTTTTTAAACAGATATGAATAAAAACCATATTCTTTACCTAGTGGAAGTAATAAATTTTAATGCCATACTGTATTTAAATTATCTTTGTCTATTTAAGTTTTTTCTTTTGAATATCATTTTTAATTCATAGATCAATTTACTTTAATTAACCACATTTTACTGTATATTTTTCATGGTGAGTTGATTCTCATTTTGTCGACATGTGGCTGGTGGGGGCCCTTTGTGGACTCTTTTCCCATTTTCCCTGAGAGCTATAAAAGATCCTTGCTTTCTGGAAGCTCGTGTCATCTGGCAGACTACATCAGTTCTCTGTGGCTGCCACAAGAAGTCACCACAAACTGGGTCCCTTGAAACTATGGGATCCTCCTGCCAAGAAGGTGGCAACAGCTGTTCTGCAGGAACCCTGGGGCCTTTTAGGGAGAAGAATTTCAAAACCTGGCCATAGAGGAGCAATGGGATCTGAGAGCAGGTTAGCTCAGGCTATGCCTTGTTTTGTTTGTTTTGTGTTTGTTTTGGTGGTACTGGGGTTTGAACTCAGGGTTTTGATCTTGTGAGGCAGGCACTGTGCCACCTGAGCCATGCCTCCAGCCACCACTCCTTTTTCCAAATGACTCCATTTTATAAAAGAGATGCTTTCTCTATTTTAAGTGCAAATGCTGAGGAAGAAAAACTCTGTATATCATTTGTAAATGACCATGATCTGTCTAGCACAAACCATAAGGCACAGACTGATAACTTATTTACACAAATACAATATTACCACCTATAAATGTCAAATTAAATCAGGAACCTATGGACACTTGTATCCAAACCATATCAGAAAGAGCAAGACTGTGAGTTTATTGACAACACCAGACCAAAGAATGGTGCTTCTCCTCACCTGGACCATACAAAAGGAGGGGCACCTGACACTGAAGTACAGCAACACACTGACCACCTACTGCATGTGTCATGGATTGACAGGTGATGAACTCCAGACCCCATCCCCAGACTTCAGCTCAGCACTGTCACTCTGCTCAATGCTGCCATTCATCCAGACCAAGTAAGCCTGGAACCAGCTCTGTGCCTCAAACCAGACCTGTACCTGAAGAGCTCTGAAACAGGGTTTGTTATGTTAATATCTTATCTAATGACCTTGGGGACTCTCTTTGCCTTCAGCAAGGTTGTTTGTGTCTATGACATCTTTAACTTGTTCTTAGCTATTCTATACCCCACATGTTATTCTGTGATGTGCAAGGTGTGAGCTGGGAATTATATTGGTAATTTTGGTTAGAATAAAAGAACCAGGTTGCCAATGGTTGTGGCTACCAAATGAACTAAGTCATTCTTGGCAAATTAAAATACACAGAATAGACATACTTTGTGACTTTATTCTTATTCAACAAGTCCTGACATTGTGGAAAGACTGAAATGTGTTGACCTTTCTGACATGGTACATTCACCACAGGGCAGTGGAGAAGTGTCTGTCCCTTCTATCTGTGGCTTGAAATGTCAGGAAACCTTGCCTTCAGCCCTGATGGCTGTGGAAGTGCTATTCTAAATGGGGAATATTCACTATCTCCCAGGTATGGAGTAGAAGTGGCTGAGCACCTGCCTGAATTCAAAGAAAGATGGAAGGTCTGAGAGGGCCACAGTGGCTATCCTCCTGCCCTTTGTGACAGATCTTTCTTGTTAGACTTACATGAAAGAGGATTCACCAATGCTTTGTTAACAAGTGATTTAGACATCATTGTTTCCTATTGCAGCTGTAGCAAATGACCATAAGCTTAAATGGCTTAAAGTAATACAAATTTATGATCTCTGGAGATCAGAGTTCCAAACTGGGTTCAAGAGTTGCATTCCTCAGGGAAGGGGCACAAGGTAGAATCTTTTTCCTTTCTTTCCCCTTTTTTCCCCTTCTCGGGTCTCAGGCACTCCTTGGCTGGTGCCTACTTCCTCCATCTTTAAAGCAGAAGCAAAGTTGGACACTGGTGGCCCATGCCTGTAATACCAGCTACTTAGGAGGCTGAGATCAGGAGGATCAAAGATACCAGGACAGCCCAGGCAAAAAAACAGTGTGAGACACTATCTCAGTGGAAAAAAGCTGGCTGTGGTGGCGTGCACCTGTCGTCCCAGCAATGGGAAGAAATAGGAGGACAGCAGCCCAGGCCAGCCTGGGAAAAAGCAAGACTCTACCTCCAAAATAACCAGAGCTAAACTGTCTGGAGGAGAAACTCCAGTGGTATTGTGCTTGCCTAGCAAGCGTGAAGATCTGAGTTCAAATTCCAGTACCACAAAAACCCCAAACAAAACAACCCTCTCGCCTACAGAACACAATGACAACAACAAGAAAAAGAAAGATCAGAGGTAAGATGGCCAGGGTCTCTCTGACCTCTGCTGCTGTGGTCACGTCTCCTCCTTTCCTACCTGGGTGATGTTGGGTGATCAGCCCATTCAAGTCCTTTGTCACCTCTGCAGCATCCCTTTTGTCACAGGCAGTGACAAGTCACAGGTTTGGGGGTAAAGACTTGGGCATTTTTTGTGCATGTGTGTGTAGGGGTGTTATTACGAAAGACTGTAATTCAACAATGTCCTCAACAACGTGAGAAGTGTGTGACATCCCTACGTTTTAAAGTTCTACACAAGTTTCTGTAGAGTGTGGTGAAGAAGTATTTTTCAAGGCCCTGGGCCCTTCCATGGCATTTGGTTGTGTGTGTCTCTAAGAATTCCCACCAAGATCTACCCCTCTCCTCCTCCTGAGCTCTCTTGCCTCGCCCTGACCCACTCTCCTCCTCTGCCTCTCACTCTGTCCTCATTCCTGTGCAGCGTCAAGGCAACCAACAGAAGGATTCTGGGAAGGACAGCCACGTTCAATTGCAGCATAGAAGGGCAACCAGAACAATGGCGCTTCAGCAGGCTCACACAAGCCATGGTGTGCCAAAACCACACGGCTTCAAATTAAAAGACAGGTGTAAAATTCCAACTCTGCCACCAACTCTGGCTTGGACAGATCTCCAACTTCACTCTCAAATATCCCATATCTAGAGGGGAGATACAGAACTCATGTGTTCTTCTCCATGTGTAATTATTCTATTGGGAGAAGATAAATGTAACTCTCTCACTTAGAAAAAAAACAACTCGTTTCATTTTAAGCTTTCCTAAATAGTGTGTATAGTCTGCAAGGGTCTGAGTAGAAATCTGTGCAGACCATAAACATCTCTGCCACCAAGCTGAAAAGTCTGGGTGTCTCCCAATGTAATTTTAATTTGCAATGGTAACAAGCAGAGCATTGTCTTCTGAGAACAATGTGAGTTGTCCCTGTGTGTTTTCATCTCCAGTTCTAAGTGCCTGACCAGTGGATCCCAAAAGTAATTCATTTTGAAAGTTACTACCAATCGGAAAAAAAGGTTGGAATAATCCAAATCCCGCAGTGTTCATGGTTTCTTTTCACTGTTTTTTCCTGTTTGTTTAGTTCTCAGAATCCCTGGATCTCCTGTGCAGGTTTTAATGTCATTTGCTATCACTGAATCTCTTGTCACTTTTCTCAAGTCCCTCTCCTCCATTCCCATCATTTTCTGCAAGCTTTTATCTTCCTTAATAGCCTGTCTCCTTTTTCACAGGGAGGGTCTGGAAATTCATCTTTAGGAGTGTGAATTTGAGATGGGCTTGTATAAAAATCTGACACAGAACTGACATTTTTCTGTCTTTTTCTTCCATCTTTAGGTGCTCAATTACCACAGTTATGAAATTTTAACTCTTAAAAATGTAAGGGAAAAGTAAGATTATGGCACATATAATGTTTTTTTTCTGCAAAAGTGCAAAATAATTTGTTACAACTTACAAGAGACTTTTGGTCTTCAACAGCAGCCTGGAAGTTCTGTGTTGGAGTCAGTTTTCCTAATCATTCCTGGTTGGTGCTGAACTCCCCCCAACAGCGTCGGCTCTCTACTATCCTGGATGGTACAGTTAATTATTTATTGACAAAGCAGCTTTTATTTTTATTTTTATTTCTTTTATTTACTTGTTCAGTGGTACTGGGGTTCAGACTCAGGGTTTAAGCTTGCTGTGCAGGACTTCTACCACTTGAGCTACACCTCCCTCAGCCTTATTTTGATTTTTCATTATTTTTCACATGCAGTCTTGCATTTTTTTTTTCTTTTACTCAGTGCCAGCCTTGGACTCTGGTCTTCCTACCTAGGCCATTCTATGTAGCCAGGATTACAGGCATGAACCACCGTGCTTATCCTGATTGTATTTTTATTGACTCCCTTCCAGAGCTGAGGGATGAGATGAAAATTTGGAACTAGATGAGAGAAATTGAAAACTGTAGACTCTACAGATGCTCCTTGACTTACAGTGGGGTTAATGCACTCAACACGCCTAACCTCCCAAACACTGCAGTTCAGCCACACAGCAGACCGTAGAGGACTAGTTGTTTGCCCTTGGTGACCACGTGGCTGAAAGGACACTGTGGCTTGCTGTACCCGCCCAGCATGGTGACAGCACTGGACCGCACACCGCTAGCTTGGAAGAGATCGTAGTGCTGCATCGGGCGTGTGTGCAACTTATCAGCCGGTGGACACTTAGGTGACTGTGTGACCCAGCTCCGGCCACCAGCACTGCAGTGGACACGTGGGCGTGCAGAGGTCTCTTCCCACACTGATGTCAGCTCCTTTGGGATGGCTAGATCATATGGAGATCTGAGGAATTTCCATTCTGTTTTCCATAAAGACCATGTAGGGTCACCCTACAGTCTTAGGGCTCCCGCGTCTCGTCCTCAGCAATACTGATTCTTTGTCTTTTTGATAGCAGTCATTCTAGCAGGTGTGAGGTGATGTCTCATTGAGGTTTTAAAGATGTCCCTGGTGAGCAGTGATCCTGAGCTCGTTTTCATACAGCCATTGGCCTTCCGTACATCCTCTGAGGAATGTCCATTTAAGTTCTTTGCCCATTTTTAAATCAAATTATTTGCTATTAAGTTGTTTGAATTTCTTGTATGTTTTGCATATTAGTTCTTTATAATAATAATTTTATATACATACATACACATAAACATGTACATATATACACATGTACACACACACATAGTCTCGTGCACTGTTGCTTCCTTTGTGGGACAGAAGCTTTTAGGTTTGATGCAATCCCATTTGTCTGTTTTTACTTGTTGCTGTGGAGTTTACTGTGTCTCCCTCCACTTACTGTCCTGATTTAAAATGGCACACACCAGAGGCTGACAGGATGCAGCTGCCATCTTGGATTTCCCAGCCTCCAGCATCATGAGTCAAAATAAACCTCTTTAGTTTGAAGATTGCTCAGTTTCAGCTGTTCTGTGGTAGCAACAGAAAACAAGCTAAGACCCATTCCTGCTCTCTGTTATCTGGCCTTGCCTGGAATATCTTTTTACCTCATCATTTTCAGTCTCTCTGTGCCTTTACACTGTAGGGAGGCTACTATAGGCAGCATTTGGTTGGAACTTCTTAAAAGTACCCATCCAATCTTTCTCTCCATCTCTTTGCCTCTCGTCTCTCTCTCTGTCTCTCTGTCCTTTTTTCCCTCTCTCTTTTTGGTGATACTGGGAATTTAACCCAGGGCCTTGCTCATGCTAGGTAAGTATATTTTCTATGTCTTGGTTAGAAAATGTAATCCATTAAAATAATTATAAGCAGGTTAAAGATTTACTATGTACCCTTTCCTTCTTTTTCTGAGGTCTGAAGTTTGATCTCAGGACTTCACACTTGCTAGGCAGGTACTCTACTGCTTAAGCCACACCTCCACCATGTTTTCACTCTGGTTATTTTGGAGATAGGGTCTCATTTTTTCTGCACAGACCCACTTGGACCGTGATCTTTCTAGTTTATGCTTCCTAACATTACAAGGATGACAGGTGCAACCCACCACGCCCAACTTTTTTCATGGGATCTCATGAACTTTTTGCCCAGGCTGGGCTGGAACCACAATCTTCCAATTTCAGATTCCTGTGTAGTTTGGAGTGACAGGTGTGTGCCACCGCACCTGGCCACTATTGCCATTTGCTTGTTTACTGACATTTACTTGTTTACAGTTTTATCATTGCTGTGAACAAATACCCGACATAAATAAAAAGGAGGAAAGATTTATTTTGCAATGAGTTCAGAGGCTTCTGTCCATGCTGGTGGGGAAGTATGGAGGAGTGTCTCATCTCATGATGACTAGGACGTATGGAACAGTAATAAGAAGGGACAATAGCAAGATACAGCCACCAAGGACACGCCCCCAGAGGCCTACTTCCTTTCACAGTCCCACCACCTCCCAATAGTCTGTTCAAATCCATTCATAGGTCAGAGCCCTTGAGATCTAATTGTCCCTGGAACGCCCTCACAGACACACCCACAAGTGTGCTTTCCTCACCTTCTGGGTGTTTCTCAATTCGTCAACAACGGTCAAAGTTCACCATTGCACTGGCCGGCTGTTACTTCTTGCTTTCCCGTGTTGCTGTCTTCCTTCGCAGTCTACTCTGTTTCTATAATGGTGTGCTTTGGTTTCCTTGCCTTTTTCTTTCACGTGTCTACTATATTTCCTAGAGATTTTTTCCTGGTTTACCATAAGACTGACACAGAACATCTTATAATAACCTCGTTTAAGCTAATAACAACTTCTACTGCATACAAGAAGCTGTCCGCCATTTTTACTGGTCTTTGACCCACCACTTTTTGTGCTAATGAATATTAAATGTTGCATCTAATTGTATTGGGAATCCATCCACAAGTTATTACAGATATAATTGTTTTAATGTATTTGCTTTTAAATTTTAAATTGATTTGCATATCGCCTTCACAGTTTTAGAGAGTTCTGAACTTGACTATATGTTTACCTTTACAGTAAGCTTTATATTTTCACGTTGTTTAGTATACATTAATTTCAACATGAACTCCCTTCTTGTAAAACAGGCAGAGTGATGATGAACTCCCTCAGCTTTCATTTGTCCTGGAATTTATTTCTCTTTCACTTCTGAAGGACAGCTTTGCTGGGTATAATATTATTGGTTGGATTTTTTTGTTTTAGTACTTTGAATGTCATACTTCTCCTCCTGGCTTATGTATTTTCTATTGGAAAGTCCACTGATAGTCTTATTGAGGCTCACTTGAATGTGATGGGTTCCTTCTCTCCTGCTGTTTTCAAGATTCTTTGACTTTGAATTTTGTTGGTTTGATTAAGATGTGTGTCATAGTTTCTATTTCACTCCCAAGATTTGGGGAATTATCAGATGGTATTTCTTCAAATAAACTTTCCGCCTTTTTTTTTCTGTTCTTGGTATCCCATATCTTGTACATTCTCATATTTGAGAGCATCCCATAGATTCATTATGGTTCTCCACACTTCCTAAGCCTATTTTTTGTTCTTCAAATGGATAAGTTCAAATGACCTCTTTTAGAGTTTGCTCATTCTTCAGCATGATCATGTCTGCTGTGGAAGCTATTAAGTTTTTCACTTCTGTCAATGTATTTTTCAGCTCCAGGATTTCTGTTTGGTTATTTAATGGCTTCTATTTCCTTGTTAAAGTTTGACTTTTGTTTGAGCATTGTTCCTAAGTTCACTTAGTTGTCGTCTGTATTTTCTTGTACCTCACTGAGCTTTTTAAAGATTATTTTGAAATTTTCTTCAAGCAATTCATATGCTTGTATTCTTTGGGGCCAGTTAATGGAACTCTACAATGTTCTTTGGTGGTGTCATGTGTGCTTGGCCCTTTGTTGTCTGTGTAGGCTTTGTATTTGTGTCTGTGCATTCAAAGAGTAAATTATTCTTTCAGTCTTTATGGAATGGTTTCCACAAGTTAAAAAGTCTTCTGTGTAAGGTCCTTGAGCTGCTAGAATTGCCTCTGGAATCACGACGCCGTGGTGCTGGATCTGGGTCACATGCCTGATGTTGGAGATCATGTTTGGCAGTTATGCTACCTGAGGCTTTAGTGGGCATGGGTCCTGTCTGGTCCCTGGATGAAAGGACTCTCTCCAAGATCTTGGTCCACAGGGCTGGCACAGGGATACGGTCTGCTTCAGGATTCATGGCCAGGCATATATGGATTCTTGGGTTGGCAGGCCTTCTGTCAGGCCACTTTGTCTGAGAAGGCTGGAGCCAATTTACAGGGCAGTTTCCAGATTCTCAGTGAGACAGAGGTCAGAAGTTAGCCTGCAAGGACACTGCCGGATGTGCCTCCCTCCAGCTCCTGGGTGGGCGAAACCTCTCTCAGTGTGCAGGTGAGAGAGGCTGGGGCTGAAGTCCAGGGGAATTTGAGGGTCTGTGATGGGAAAAGTTTGACAAGCCTGCAAGACTCAGGTGGACGTGTCCCCTGGCAGCCCCTGGTTGAGCAGAACTGCCCCAGACCACGGCCAGCAGGGACTGACTGTGGTCCAGGATGTGCTGTGGGGTCATGCTATGAATCTCCTTCTGGTAACTCTGGGTGGTGAGACTCCCCAAAGTTCCCTGCGGGGTCACGATTGCTCTTGGACCACAGCACAGAGGAGCTGGACACCTACAGACATTGCCGTGGGGTGTAGGTCCTCAAGCCATCCCGGAAGTGTACATAATGAGTCTCCCAGCAATTGCCTGTGCTGTCAAAATTGCTCCTGGACTGTACCCAAGGTAGGCTGGAGCCATGACAGGGCCCCTTCAGCATCCCTGTTTGGGATGGAGACCAGCAAGGCTGCTAATAGCACAGATAAGGCAGGTCTCCCTGTGAGTCCTTGTGTGAGCTGGGGTGATGTGGACCATGGCTGATGTTGAGTCACATGCTAATTTTCAGGCTCATTACTGGGATCTAGGTAAATGGGCTTGCCTCCCAAGGCAGCAGTGTACAGGACTCTACCTGTACCCCTTGGTGATGGTTAGGGTGGCAGGCTCAAGGCCATCAGAGCTGTCACCATGCACTTTGTGGGACAGTGCTGTTTCTTCATCTGGAACTGGGACCACAATTGATGTGTCTGCCCTTGAAACAACCCTCCTCAGTCCCAAACTTCACTGAGTATCAGAAATTCCTACCTGAAACCCGAGGTTCCCGCAGAGGTGCACTTCTCCCTGGATAGCTGCAAAATTGTTGTGTGTGAGGGGGAGGGGATATGAACAGGGACTAGGCATTCTACCGTCTTTCAGACCTTTATTTTTTCTTTAATATTTTTATTGTGTTAAATTACATATAGCATAAAATTTAGCACTAGTGACATTTCATACACTCACAATTGATACCACTGTCTGGTTCCAGAACATTTCTGTTACCCAAAAGGAAACTTCCCACCCATTAGCAGTCATTCCTCATTCCCCCTTCCCTCAGCTCCTGGGAACCACCAACCTCCTTTCTAGGGATTTGGTGACACTGGACATTTCACATCAATGGCGTCAGGTAATTTGTGGCCTTTTGTGGCTAGCTGCTTTCACTTAGCATAGGGTTTTCAAGTGATCCTCCTGGAACTTGCTGACTTAGGACTCCAGAAGCTCTTGAATGTCAGGAATGGCAGCATACCTGGACTGGACGGTCCTGTCACCACATGCTAGGGTGGTGACCAGTCACAGGCCAGCCAGGAGGGGGCGCCTCTTAATATGGCTAACCCATGCTCCAGCAGAGGAGCTATTTGCTACAAGGTCTGATTTAGGACCCAGTATTTATAAAAAACACAGTTATTTGGGTTTTCAGTAACTCAACTCATTCTTAATGACTTTAAGTTGACAAAATAATTTTGGCAAACAGTGGTTGGTTAAAAAACCAAAATGTTAATTCCTGGTCTTTTTTGTACTATTTTTCACCTAACAATCCTTTAAAAATGTTAGTCTCTTTCCATGATGAAATAAATACATGGCATGGTTTGATTAAAGCATACCCACATACAAGGCAAAGGTTGCTGCTATACTTCAAAAAGACCTGAGCCAATGAACTTGTGACATAGAGTGCTTTAATCACCACGTGAGATTATACTTTGTTAAATCTACCTCCAGATTGCTGGGCCCTGTCACCCTAGAGGCACACTCTAGGTGCTGGCCGACTGCCTTCTCTGGAATAGAATTCTTAGTTTTCAAAACTTCACATCACCTTCTGTTGGTTTTATTTTTTTCTACTTGGGGATGTCGCTTATTCGTTAGTTTCTGGAGCTCTTGGATTATTTGTTTGACATTTAAGCCATTCCTGGAAGCTCCCAATGTGGCTTCATTAAAAGGAAAAATGAGCACAAAGTTGCCTGCGTGGGGACTCGGTGCCTGGCCAGGGTCAGGAGGGATACCCGGGGAGACCTTTGCCTTGCAGGGATGTGACCGAATGAGTGATGCATAGGGTACAAATGCCTCATGAGGTGTGTGCCTGCTCATCAGCCTTGGTGCCTGTCTTGTCGGCACAAGTAAGTCCTTCTGCTCGTTCATCATCTCTCTCAGTTGGGAGGTCCGTGTGTGTTTAGGAAGCAATCTGACAGCTTTCTCCTTGACAGTGTCACTCGAACTATATGTCCTGCTCTTGAATTGCAAGAGAGCCTCATAGGGAAGAGAGCCGTGAGCCTCCCTGAGCTTACACTGATCACTCTTGGAAAAGGAATTTCCATTTGTGGCTTTGCCATGCTCTTTGTCCTCATTTCTTAGGCCATTTAAGTAAACCAGCTCAATAACATCATGGATAAGCTTTCTCTTCACCAACACATCGGTTGGACAATCCAAGGACAAGGCAGGACTGCAGTTGACTTCTAAAAGCCATGGTTTCAAGTTGTCATCTATCAGGATATCAAACCCAAAGAGCTCAAAGCAATTGTCAGCCAAGGGGACTGATGGAGCCATGGCAAGGACTGTAAGGATGACCATGCTGTTGATTTTCTGCCACAAAAGCAAGTCGTCCACATCCCAGTTACGAAGGTAGGAGAAAAACCTGCTGAGTGTCCACTTGCAACCTTGACCAACCACTTCTTTGATTTCCCATACGAGGCGCCCGACTTATTGATGCTGCTGTTGGTCAAATGGGCGTAAAAGTCTTGCAGATTGCTGAGGTCAAACTTTTCAGTAGCAAACCGCACCAACCCTTCCTGATACACATAGATGGTTAAAGGCTTAAAGCTGGTGACGCAGACATAGATGCGGAGGTCACATTTATATCTACCGACAAGCAAAGGGTTGCAGATGTACTTCTGTACTATATGTGTGTCATTGAAAATTAGATCTCTAAGGTCATTGAAGATTATTATCCCTCGCCCACGAGATAGTTCTGCCGGCTTGCAGATCCAGTAGCTCTGCTTGGTACCCAGCGTCTGCTTCTCCTTATAGAATTCAGCTACAAACTTGATGTAGTCGTTGGGCATGACGAACGTCAGAGGGATGAACTCATAGAGGGATGTGCTGTACATCCTCCTCATGTGCTTCAGGTGTTTGGCCAAATGGTCCTTCCTGGTGAGCTTGGTGGTGCCAGGGTGGTGGTTTAGCCTCTGCCAGGGCTTAACTCTGATGTGCTCGGTCATTCGGAACGAGGAGGTCCTCCAGTACAGATTCCAGTCCTCGACATTTTGCTGCTTCTCATCAAACTTATCCCACCCACGCTCCAGCAGGACACTTTGCACGACTTCAGGAGTGGTCTCGTCCACGCGGAACACCAGCGGCTTCAAGGGGGCCCCCGAGGGTGCGTCTTCTGTTGTCATGGGTTTTCCTTTCTAAAGATCGGTAATGAGGACAGAGTTAGAAGAATGGGCCATGGCAGACTTCAGCACACTGTCTCCCGAATCCCACCTCTCTGCACCTGGGGCCCCTCTTGGCCCGTCTCTTCCTGGGCCTATCTAGTCTCTATCTGCCTGTGGTGTTCTACTGATAGGGTAAATGTTTGCAGTTATGCCACCCGAGCTTTGGAGGACAAACAGCATCATAGATCCACACCTGTGGTGAGCCCTGTTAACCTAAAAGTAAGTGTAATGAATAACAAAAAAGAATGTCATTTTTTTGGTAGTTAAATGAATTCCGGTATGTTAAAGGATACTTGAAACACGCTATTAGTAAGTATTTTCTGGGCTTGAGAAGTTCGAGGATGACAGGGCAGACACCCAACAGTTGTCCAGGTCCCAACCTGAGCACCTGGGTCCACTGGAGGTGTTTCACTGGGGGGCACTTTGCCATTCAAATAAGTGCTGGCTTGTGGGAAAATAATTGAGAAGAAAAGCTTGAATTGTAAAAAATCCATTTGGCAAAAACCATGACAATGTGAAGTTTATGCCTCTCACTATGGAAATACAGACTTGAAACAGTCTTCTGAACTACAAAGAGGGAAAACCATAACTCACAATGAAGCATGATCTTGAGTGGAGGGTAAAGGCATCAAAACCTCTTAAAGAAACCTCAGACCTTCCAAGTCCAAAGACAGCATGCTCACCAAAAATTCCTTGTTAAGGCAATTTTGAAGTTTCTTTGGAGATGTCAGTGCTGTTCATGCATAATTTATTTAATAATAACATGAATAACCGCTGGGCACAACTCTGCGGTGTTTGGGAGATTCTGACAAGGGAGAGAATTGTGACGGGTGCAGTCCTTTCAGTGCAGCAAGTTTTGACAAGGGAGGGAGAGAGGAAAGGAGGGATTGACAGAGAGATGGATGGATGAAGGGAGGAAGGAAGGGAGGGAAGAAAGGAGGGAAGGAAGAAGAGAGGGAGGGCCACCTGGCTTGATCACCCACCTTTGTCTCTGGCTTGGAAATTTGGAAGAGTTGCCAGGGAGTGATGGAGACTGCTTGTTTCCAAGTTACCTTCTTCGCAGACCTTAGGTCAGCTCTTTCTTGTGATTTGCTACTGATATGATAGTGAGGATAACAGGCTAGGATGGTGCTTCCATAAGATCTGTGAACACAAAGCATCAATAAAATGACGAGTGCCTTTCCAGCACTAGACCAACTAGGCACAGGCAGAATTGCAAATCTGGTGTGACCACTAAAAAAAGTCAATCTGCACCACTTATGGTGATGTTTTCAAACAGTTCTCTAAGATGTCAGCGGGAGATCAAACGACCAGTTAGGATTTTTCTTCATGGTAAAAAGTTCTGCAGCTTCCTCAAGTTTCTGAAGGCCCTGGCTTAGGGAGAGAGAGAGCAAGGACTTTGTCCTGTGGCCAGGAAGAGGGCTGTGGACCGTGACGTCAGCCATGATGTGGGGTGTCGTGTGACCATGATAAGAGCACTGCTATCCATGGAGGTTTTCATAATTTGTTTTCTTCCCTGACCTGAGCTGTGAGAGAAGAAGTCCCTGATCCCTGGGAGGAGGGACATTGACAAGACGGTGCTACTCATGGCCCATGGCAAGAAATTTGTTTAACTATTTATTCATACTCCCAATTTACATTATAGATATATGCTAAGTAATACAGTAATTGATGCTTAAAACCACTCTACAGTGCTAATGTCTATATATTTTACAGTATAGAATACAGCATGATGATCCTGACGATGTGGAAGTAATCACACGGTAACAGTATACATACCATTCTTTCTTTGGCTCCATCTTGCCTTCCAGTGAAGGGGCTGTACATGTGGGAAGATGCCTGTGAAGCACTAGTGTCCAACTACACCCAGGTCCTGGAAGGCAGGCAGGTGCCAAGCTTATGTCCCCTGAGCAGGCACTATGTCTGATTTGTGTCCTGGATAGGGCTGACGGCTGGCTGTGCAGTGGGATCTCAGTCCACGATTTCCTGGACTGCAGGCCACCTGAGTGGGAGCCTCCAGGCCAAAGGAGGAAGGCAGAGGCTGGAGAGCCTGCCTGGCTCATGCTGGTCAGTGGCTCTTCCTGGGAGGTCCCTCTTCCAAGCTGCCATTCTTATACCATCTAAATCACTTCTGCTTCCTCAAAGAAAGATAGGCTCTGTTCACTGTACTACATGACACATCCTGGACCTTGCTCTAGCTGAGGGCAGGAGTATTTATGAAAAATAGCTACTATTTTCTGTGACTTTCTCTCCTACCACCTTGCTCCCCTGACGGGAGTTCTGGGACAAGTAGGTTGGTGTGTCCTTCCCTACAGTTGGTGTCACAGGCATGGGTAGGCAGCAGTGTGGGACCTGGGATTCCATTGGGGGACCTGGAACAGGACCCATGAAGCGAAGGAGTTGAGACACAGGGACTCCTGGCTTCCAGGAGGGAATAGAGTCTCTCTGAAGAAACAAAACCACGAGTCCCCAATGAAAGTCACAGGGTGGGGTGACGACTACATGTTCTCTTTCCCTTGATTAGAGTGGCCACCCTGCCTGTGTTTACTTAAAAACAATTGATCAGCATAGCTCCATGAGAAGTTTTTGAGCCTGCCCTTTATAATGGCTGGAGATGGTTGCAATGGCCCAGCCTGGTCCCCCGACAGGCACTGGTGCCTGGCTACAGGAGCCAGCTGGTCTCCACTGCATGTGCATTGGTTTGAGAAGGGGACATCATCCAGCATGTGCCTGCAGGTGTGCTGGCCAACCTGGGGACAAACTGTTTCTTGTGGCGAGCCGCATTGATGCTTTCACAATTATGAAGAAAATCATGCTTTTTATTCACATTCCCCAGTGTGTCAAATTCAGTTCCACCAGCTCTGCCCAAGGGACAGTGTTCATCTGTATCGACCAGCTCAGGCCAAGTGGATCTGTGTGGAGGGAAGAGACGCATTGGTGCGTGTGACCTCTCATTGCCCTCTTTGGGTCCAGGGACCAGAGTTGGCTTGGGACATTGGCCACGTGGCTGCCTCACCCACTGGGATGTGAAGCCCGGCTGCCATTGTTACCCTAGTCTCCTGAATTAGGTGTCCTGTATGTGGTAGAATAAGTGAGGGACCAGCAAGCCGGTGGAGTGGAGGGGAGGAGCACGGGGACACTTTTCCTGTGCCTTATCAGAATAAAGCATCTGTATACTTTTTCTATTTCAACCATGGGTATGTCACACTGATACAAATAATATGCACAGGCCTCATTCCATTCTGTCTTTGCTTTCCTGTTTTTAAAATAACTTCTCACTTAGCTCGATCAGAAGCGGGGAGTTAAGGTGAATTCAGTTCCCAAGTCCAAAATTTGGAGGAAAGTTTCATTCTGAAAGAAAATGGATATTATAGAAGCTGACATTTTACCAAAGAGTCGGTCTTGGACTGTCACCCCAAGGGCTTAAGTCAGTAACGATGCATGCGGATATGTGTTTATGGGTGTAAAATACATTTTTGAGTATTTGGACTTCTAGCCTGTCACTCGAGATGTACAGGTGAGAAATAGACAGGTCTCATGTCGTGAAGGGTGCAAAGGACTTGTGAAAGAATAGTAGGGGAACAATTGTTGACAGGGGCAGAGGCCCTGAAGGCATCAGTCCATATCAGCCGAGGCTAATGATAAGTAATTTAAATTATCCATAAGAGATTCAATTGATCCTGCACTACTCAGATTGAAGGGCAAAGGAATGTGTACAGTGATGTAAATGTAATATGCACATACGTCATTATGAACAGATAATGTTAGAACTTGTCGACGTGGTGAGATTAGACGCGTATTTTGTCCGCCTTGCCCAGGGGAGAAAGCAACTTGAGGACGCAAGTTGGCAGCCTAACGCACCACCCAACCATATACATATCACCGTGAGGCTATAGTCGACAGGACAGGTACCTGTCAGGAGAAACTTGATTCTATGGGGCCACCAGCTTTATTTTGTAGGAAAAGAAGTCAGTATCAAGTCGTTGCTCAGTCAAAAGTTTAGAACGGAACTCATTTTATGAGCTGCCGTTGAGCTCAGGTGCCTCAACAGAGCACGTGCTGCTAACGGATTCCAAGGTGCGAAGATTTTTAACGTGATGATTTATGGTGGAGCCTGCCAGAGTTCTCAAGGCAAAGAGTCCATTAGACACGCGGTTATATTAATGACGTCATGATCTCTAACGTGCATTTCCAGCTCTTCCTGTGGGGAACCCTGAATTTTTCAGTGTGGCACATGGGAGGGGCCTGTGAGCAGGTCCCTAACAGATGTGGGGCCACAGAAAGAAGGTTGCTCCCCCTGGCCAGCATATACTGTCTATAGTTCACTTGGCAATGAGGCCTGAATACCACAGAGAGGTCCGCTTGTGGCGCTGGGGCATTACTGAGGGGTATGAGTAAGGGGGCCAGATCACAGTAAAAGAATTGGCGCCAAAGAAATGAAAATAAAAGGTCCCATGTCCACCAAGAGACCAAGCAGCCTGAGGGAGGACAGGGAGGAGCTGGCTATGGGGCCAGATCAGAGGCTGGGTTATTTCGCTGAGGCAGAGAATCATACCACGATTGTAAATCTTCAAAAGACACAGGCTTCCAAAGCAGGATGGTGTAAACCCATCGTCTGGGGGTGACTGGCGGCGCAGGAGCGGTTCACCCAATGTACTTAGCCTGTGCAAGGGTCGAGGTCCTGTGGTTGGTGTGTTGTGTGGGCGGCCCCTTGAGTATCACTGTCAGATATTCGCGTGGTTGGGTCAAATTGGTTATTATAAGTCGTAGAAACCGCTGCCCATGGCTCAATAGGGAAAAGTGCCAAGGCACTGTTGTAAGACGCACGTGATCCACATTGGAACATGATCTGAGGTATTTGAAAACCAGCTTACAGAGTGAAAAGACACGCCTGAATCCTGAGTGAGCCCTACAACGGAGACTTTTCAGAGTATAGTGCAGGAGGTTCTTGCCCATACTTTCTTTGGTCACTTAACTCCAAAGCTCATATTTAGATTCAGAGGATATACAGCATGGCTAATGAAAGTAGAACGCTGTTCGTTTCACAGGGAAATTGCATCAGGCCAGGCTATACTTGTTGAGGTCATTGTTTAATAATTGAGCAGGGGTTGCTGGAGTCGTTTGTGTGAGTCTATTGCAGGTGCCCTGACTTGCGAAGTTCCCGCTGGCTTTAAGGAAGGGGGGGAGGGCCACTTCTTTTTCGCACTTGTGCGGCTTGGATGATTTGTAGCGCTTGGCACCAGTAGGTCCCTTGGGGAAAGGACATGTCCATTCCTGCTGGGGACTCGCTGCTAGGCTGGGTTGGAAGTTCTTTCGCTGAGTCGCAAGGCAATTGGCGTGAGGTCTAGAGGTGGAGGGGCTTTGCAGCCAGTATCCTGCAGTCTCCATAGCAGCAACCCATTCTAGAACTTCCTTCCATCCAAAACAGGCTCTCACAAGAGAACCAGGCATCCATTCTTTTTGTCTTCATTTTATCTTTTTAGCATATTCACTGTGTACAAGATAGAAAACCCCAGGCCACTTTCCACTGGCGGAGGCGAAGCTTGAGTATTAAGCCATTCAACTAAATGCTATGAACTTCAGTCATCAGTGAACCGAGAGAGGAAATATTTGGGCATCAGGTAGACAGGCCCTTCTAGGTGACCCCCATGCCAGATGCTATAAAAATAGTTTCCTTCAATGTAGAGAAGAGACTAATTTTTCTAAAGAAACACTAGTCCATGAACACACACAGGCCATGCATCCTGCATGTGAAAAAGTAATAAAAACTACGTGTCTACATAAACAGCCTTCTGCTTTCCAAAGGTTCCCCGCCTTTTTCGGAATTCCTGGGACTTACCCCCGTAGCCTGTTTTCCCACACCTCTCATGGATGTGCACTTCCTTACTTCAATTCCATTAACAGCCTCGATTTCAGGCATTTGTAAAATCTGTACTCTGGGCAAGTGTTGTACCACTGAGCTACGACCCCCAGCCCCTAAAACGCACAACTGTTACTTCACACTGCACAGCACAGCAAGTTTTAAATTTGGAACTCAGTTGTTTACACATCCAAAACTCCACACCTTTATCAATGAGGAACAGTAGCTTGGGCCTCAAGTGTAATTTTTCTAGGTCAGTCTGTTAGACTTCTTTGTCCCTGAGACAAATACCTGGGGGATACAGTTTAAAGGAGGAAAGATTTATTTTGGCTTATGGTTTCAGAGGTTTCTAGAAGTCCCATGGTCAACTGGACCAGTGATTTGGGCCTGAGGCGAGGCAGAATTTCATGGTGGCAGAACTGCTCACTGCGTGGCAGCCAGGAAGCAGAGAGAAGACACAGGCGGGGGCAAGGCAGGATACACCCTTCAAAGGCATGGCCCCACCGACCTACTTCTTCCTCCAACCAGGTCCTACCTCCTAAGACTCTCCATAGTCCATTCGAATTTTGAGTCCATCAGTGAATTAAACCATCGATTAAGTCAGAATCCTTTATCCCTGGGAATTCCCTCTGACACACCCAGAGTCATGCCTTACTAATCTCCTAGGTGGCTCTCAACCCAGTCATGATGACAGTCAAGATTAACCATCACGGTTGGGAAGCCAGTTAGTGGAGAACAGTGGCCTCAGAGCGTTTGGATTGGATACAGTCCTTGTCTTGTCTCTCCTTTTCCCTGTGGTTCACAGTTGTGGTTTATAGCTCTTATGGAACCCAGAGTGCGTCTTTCCCACATAGATGTTACTTGGAATAAATGTTTGCATTGCTTTAAATGCAGAATAATCAATTCATTGTTAATCAGCAGGAAAGTCCTATTTTCTCAGTAAGGCTTTAAGGTACCGGGGACAAGACCATGTTGATGCACTCCTTTGGCCTAAGACTTCCTGGCATGGTCCTCACTTCCAATAACTCCTGGCTGGATGGAACTGACTTGGAGTTCAAATGCTGCTATCGTCCCAGCATGCATACGGCTCGCTCTGACCTTTACAACTGGAGGTGGGAAGGCAGTGGATCTTGCCTGCAGCTCTGCCCTTTGGCCTGTGCTGTGAGGAACGCACACCTGGTGTGACACTCAGGGCTTCCTCTGCACCTCTTCAGTGGGATCCCCCACCATAGCCTCACTCCTGCCTGAAAGGCCAGCCCTATGCTGTGGACTCTGAGGTACCAGCTGTGGCTCAGGCTCCATGCTTCTGTCCTCCCACTACCCCTCCCATCTACCTATCAAAGGCCAGTACGAATGTCCACTCCTATCTTCCTCCCCTCTGGGACTTCTCCTTCCTCCACATGGGCCCTGTCACCCCACATCTACCTAATAGGAAGACATGCCATCCCTCCTAGGTCACAGTGTCCCAGTAGGCAGTTGTGCTTGGTCACACAACCTACCATCTATCACCAGTCCCTGAAAATGCTGGCCATTGGATGACTTGGGTTGAACTCAGTACACACTCCTCCACCTGTGTAGATACTTTGAGTGTGGGGTGCATTTGAGTGACACTGTCTCCCATTGGTAACTGTAGTCACAGAAGTTATGCCTATCTCAGTGGCCCTTGCACACTAGCGCCCTGTGCACAGGGTGCTCTCCAAGTGTGTCTTTTGGACAGCCTAGGCTGGTATGTACCTCCTGCTGAGTCCCCTAAGGCAGGTTCTGTGGGGAAGCACTGTGTAGGGTGCATACTCACTGTCTTGGTGGTGCTGGACTCCTGCACTTCCAGAAGGGGCCAGGGAGGGCTGTTGCACGCCCAGGAGCTGTCTTGACACTGAGTGTTGCTTTCATCACCCCTTCCCTGCTCCCAGTTGATGTAGAGGAAGGAATTCTCAGCAATTCTGATCTGAGGGGAGTGTTGTGTGTCCCAGTTCAGCCGTCTGGCAGGCAGGCGGACATGGGCAGGACCACAGAAATCCTGGTTGTTAGTGATGCTCTCCTCACAAAGGCAGGGCTTTCCCCACCTCAGGAAGGGCTGCAGCCAGGACCATGAATGTGAGAGCCATGGCGGGGAGTGGAGGGTAGAGGACTACATTTCTCTTATCTGTCCTCTGAGGCCTCTCTTCCCGTAGCCAGGCCTGGTAGCTGTCAGCACCAGTGCCCAAGGACTCAGAGCTGACATATGGCAGGGAAGGCCCACAGGTTCCTCTGGAGGTAGGGTCCTTCCGGGGGTCTCCTTTTGTCAAGCCTTAGAGGAATAAGCCAGAGAGGACGTGACTGGCATTCTTGAGTCAGACATCTTTTCCCTTGGCTCACTCAACAGGCCCCACTGCCTGTTGAGGTTAACATTAGCACCATATTGCCATCCCTTTAATTACAGGCTCTGTTACCACCTTTCAGGAGCAATAATCACCTCACATAATCACCTCACATAACTATGTGAAAACTGCAGGGCACCACACCCCAAGGTGAAACTGCAGATGTTTTAAACTGGCGAACCAAGAACACAAGCAGCTTGTGATATGTCACCCAAAAGGCATTTTTCTTTTTCAGTTGGAAAACTGATGCTATTGTTGTCTTCTAGCCCTTGGTGCTGGTCAATTTTATAAAAATGAAGTGTAATTAAGGTCTTCCACCATGACTATCTTCATGAGCATAAATTAAAGGTGTGGTGCCAGCAATTATTTTATCTGGGCAATGTACAAGATAGATAACCAAGAAGTAAGCAGTTCTGAGCCAGGACACCAGGTTAGTGATTATTAAGTCTTGCATTTGTTCAGTAATTTTAACTCTTCTCCTCAGTTTGAGAGGTTCACACAAGCTGCCAAGAGTGCCTACTCTCTCTCTACTCAAGAGTCTGGACTGAGGAGAGAAATCCACCAAGGCCACAGGCCACTACTGCCCAGGACACCTCAGAGATGCAGAAATGCTGTGTGTGCTTGCCTGGTGAGGCCTGGCATTTTCCACAGTGGGTGCAGGAGCTGACACTTCCCTGATGGTCTTGTCCGTGCTCTGCCTCCTCCTGAGGACGCCCCTGGATTTCATCCTGCCTCAGCTCCCTCCATGTAACCCCTGGCTCTCAGCTTGAGGACAGGCTGATGCTCCCAGAGATGGACACACACCGTCCGGGCTCTGTGGCCAGTGAGTCAGTCCATAGGAGCCCTGGCCCAGCATTACCCCTCCTCTGTCTCATTCTGAAGGAAGTGTCAGGTTCCAGAGCAATCCATGCTCAGGTATGTAGACCTAATGAACGTCCACCATTGTGGCATACCTCCATCTCCAGCTCGTCCCCCTGGATCAGGACATGCTCACTTTGAATCAGGATGTATGCCACAATGGCAGGACCAAGAGGAGGTTCCATGCATTATGATACTAAAATCTAGAATCTGGGTGAAGTCTAAGGAATCTCTGAGCCAATAACCATTTTATTTTATAGCTATCTTACTCCCAAATGAGCACAGAGACTCAAACCCAGGTAGTTAATGGAGCAAGAACCACCTGCCATCTCCTATGAAGGAAGAGTGCCAGGGTGGAGGCCGGTGAGACATGTAAAGGCTGCAGAGCTGCTTGTTTAGCCTTTCAGTCCACTTAGCTATTTGCCTGTGACACAAAGGACACATCCCTCTGATGTCCCCAGCACTAGGTGAATAGCCTCCAATATTTGGGAGATTTCCTTTCCTTCTTCTGTTGGGAATTGCCTTCCTGAGTTAAGTCCCCTTTCCTTCCATATAGCTGCATATAGCTCTAGGAAGGCATGATTTGAGTCAGTAGAAATGTTAATCCCGAGTTAAGGTTCTAGTTAAGGCTACCAGTTCTGTTTTTGGGCTGAAGTCTCAGCCAGCAAGGGTTGGGTTTCAGTGACTCCTTCTTGGCTCAGCACTGCATATCCTGCCTTTCTTTCTCTGTTTAGCATGAAACTACTTCCATCAGTAAACCATTCATCCTTGGGTTTCAGGAATGGTTTGTCTGTCAGGTCTGGTCTGTGTGCATAAGTTTGTATGATCACCTGCTCACAAGTATATTCAGTCATTAGTTCTAAGAGCCATAAAGATGCAGGATTTAGGATGTTACACATCTCCATGGTCACTTCTGGGGACTCTAGAAGGATTTATAGATGTCAATCCCCAGACATCCATAAGTGGCTTTAGTTCCAGGATGGCCCTTACCTGGGAGAGGGTAAGCACTTCTAGCTGCAGACCCAGAGTCATTTTAATGGCCTCCTCCACTGGGAGGACAGTGGCTATTGCCCTCAGACATCCCAGCCAACCCGGGGCCATTCCTTCCAACCTGTTAAAAAGAGGCTACTAAACGAGGTTGAATCCCTAGATTCTGGGTTAGAAAGCCTACGAAATTCCCCTCTTTCCTAATACGTATAGCATAAAAGCGCTTGCCAAACTGGGGATTCCTAGGGCCAGGGCTCAGTGAGGACCTCTTTGGGCATCATCTGTTTCTCTAGTTCATTCTAAGGGTTTACTATCTGGTCCCTTTGTTGACACATACAGAAGCTTAGCTATGACTCCAAAATCTAGCAAAACCCTGCCATTCCCAAGAATGAATGGACTAGATAGTCAGTGTCCCTCCTAGGCTACAGATGGCTTTCATCTTCCCAGCCAACAGTTTCTGGGTCCCAGGAGTGAAGATATAGCCCAGATAGTGAACCTTCTGTGAGAAACTTAGGCCTTATTTTTTTTTTGAAACTTTGCATTCCCTATGGGCCAAGAAATTAAGGACCAGGACAGAATTGTCATTTGACATGTCCTGAAGAGCACTGCAAATCAGGAGGTCATCCACGTGTTGGAGAAGTCCTCCTTACTCAACTTGATGGTCCCTTAAATCTTTTCCCAATGCCCTGGCAAACAAGTAGGGGCTATCCTAAAACCCCTGGGGCAGTACTGTCCATGTACACTGTTTTTCCCTTATAAAGGGGTCCTCCCACTCAAAGGCAGAGATATTTGGACTCTTGATGCAGAGGGATGGTAAAGAAAGCATCTTTCAAGTCCAAGACCGTGACCCTTTGGTATTTGGGACAGAATGGTATTTGGGACAGAATGGTATTTGGGACAGAATGGCCCAGGTATTTGGGACAGAATGGCCACTAGAAGGTATATGGGGACCATGGTCTTGTTTACCAGTCAAAGATCCTGGACCATCCTATACTGTCCTGTGTTTTATCACAGGAAGGGTAAGGGTGTTAACAGGGAGATTGGACAAGGTCTTAATAGAAACTCTTGCAAATTGGCCATAGTTCCTCCTTTGCCTCCTGTTTTGGAGAACATTGCTTATGACTGGGATAATGGTTGGGGTCTTTGAGTTGTACCTTAACAGCAATAGTCTTTGCTCTCCCAGGTATTCCATCATATCAAGTTGAATGACTTACTTTTTGGTCCACTTCCAGAGAGATTTGGTAGGCCTTTGGGGTCTTTCCTGAAGCACTAAGAGCCCTGGCAACTTGTCCATTAGCAGGACCAGGCCAAATTTTCCCATATGTCCCAGCGCAAGAGCAGAGCAGGGAATCAGGATCTACTAGAAATCTATGCATAAAGACTTGAATCTTAATACCGTAAGCCAAGAAGGAGGTGAAACTTCTAACCCTATTTTTTCTAGTGAATACCCCCCGCCCCGACACACACGCACACAATTGGTGTCAGGGAGGAAGCCTTTACTGCATAGAAGGGAAGAGCAGAGTAAGTCACCCCCTATCCAATAGGAATTAAATTTACTTACCCAAGACATTTAAGGCTACCTGAGGTTCTCATGAGTGATGATGGTCTTATGTGTGGGCTGCAGAGAGTGCCTTGGGCCTCCTGAGTTGTGTTCCATTTCAGTCAATGCAGCCAGAGTCTTAACTGGCTGCACCCCTCTCCGGGAGCAAGGACAGTCAAAACTGGAGCAGTCACGATGGGCTGGCTCTGGGTGATCCCTGGCAAAATGCCCCAGTTTCATGCAGGTGTAACAGGTTGCCACCTGTCTCACTTAAGGATGCCTTGGACCTGTCCAGTCATGGTATCCATAAGCTTAGCCTGCCTCCTTCTCTTGTTCTGTCCCTTCCTTTCCTCTTCCAGATTGCAATTGGTAAAGCCCAGAAAAATAGCATATAGCAGCTGGGTCTTATTAGTCTGAGATCCCAGCTGTAGCTTTCAAAGCTTCTGCCTGATATCTGGGGCAGATTGAGTACTAACATGCTGGCCCAGGAGAGCTGCTCCCTCTCTGGAGGAGGAATCAAATTGGTATGTTTTCTAACGGCTTCCTCCAGTCTATCATAAAATGATACAGGACTTTCTTTCTCTTCCTGAGTAATTCCTTTAACCTTATCATAATTAGTTTATTAGCAATTCCTATTTCGTGCCCTGGAGGATTGCCTCTACCATTTTTGCTCTCCTTTGTAACCTTCCTGGAGTGTTGTAGTCTCAGTTAGGTTCATTTTCAGGATGGTATCAGACCCTGGTTGGTGATCCTGAGGTCCCTGGCAAAGGTCTCATCTGCTTCCCTATGGGCAGCAGCAAGAATTCTTTCTTTCTCTAAGGGAGTGCAACAATTGGCCAGTGGGAACTGAATATCTATCCAGGACAGATCAAAAGCCAATGTCAGGGTCTGAAACGCATCTGCAAATTTGTCTGTGTCCTCAGAATATCTTCCTAGTTTTTATTTGCATTGTCAGATATCAGCTGTGGAAAAAGCACTTGAACCCAAATTGGGCCCTGTGGACCCAGCACCTCTCACAACAGGAGCAAGGGTTGCGAAGTAAGGTGGAGGATGTGGGGCTTGTAAGCAGTGGTGGTGCAGGAGGAGGAGTATGGTGAGGAGGTGGGCATTCCTGAGAGACAGGTGTCACTCCCTGTAGCAGGGGATCATCAAGGACATCTATATCCTCTTCATTTGGATTCCACATTTGGGGCCTGGGAAGGGTCTTGATATGAGGCGATAAAGACCTGGACATATGGCGCTTCAGACCATTTCTCTTATTTCTTAGAAAACAAACCTGTCAGATGGTATAAGCTTCCATTCTTGGGCCACTTTTCCTGACTACCCAGTTGGCATTGTGGCCAGGCTACATTACAGAAGACAAGCTGTTTCTTTTTCAGATTGTCAGGGTTGAAAGGATCCCAATGGTTAAGGATACAACCGAGTGGGGAATATATTGGGATAAATGCAGAAAGAAAAAAGGGAGAGGGATAAAGGGGAACGATGGAGGGCATGAATTCAACTATAATATATTGTAAGAACTTTGGTAAATGTCACAATGTACCTCCAGTACAACAGTAATAATAATAATAATAATAAAAACTTATTCCAAAAATGAAAAGCAAAGGGAAAGCTGTGGGTACTCTGCTGTCTCTCAGTGGGTGTGAATAGGTTTTCAACTTCAGTGTCTACTGGTGACCATTGCTTGATCACTCAAGAAACCAGACTTAGGATGGATCTAATACTGCAGAGAGCAGACTGGAGGGCTGGAAAGAACCATGATCCATGATGACACTGATGACTTGCAGCCTCATTCTTCTTCTGGAAACCCAGTTATCTGAGCCTTTAACATACCTCAGCGAAGCCACCGTTTTCCTGACATCTCTGTTACTTGAAGCCATAAGTGTCTTGGTAGAGTAGGAAAGAGAGAAAGAAGAAGAAACAAGAACTGATGTGTGGTAGACAGAATAACACCTCCCCCACCAAAAGTCTCCACATCCGGATCTCTAGAACCCAAGCACTTGTTACCTTACATCTTAAGCACGGGAGTGATTAAATGAAGGAGCTGGAGATGGAGAGGTTGTCCCAGATAATCTTGGTGGGCCCAGTGTAATCATCAGGCTTCTTATAAGGGAAAGTGGGAGGCAGGAGAGCCAGACAGGAATTGTAACAAGAATAGAGGATGGGGATGTGCTTTAACTGAGCAGAAAGGACCCTGAGCCGAGGAATGCAGGTGGCTTCCAGAAGGTGGAAAGACACGAAACAGATTCTTTCCTAGAGTCACCGGAAATAAAGCAGCTCTAACAACAGTGGATTTCATCCTGTAAGACCCATTCAGACTTCTGACCCCCAAAACTGTAAGATAATAAGCTGGTGTTATTTAAAAGCATTAAGAAAAGAATAATAAGAAGAGAGAGAAGTGATGAGACTGGAACTCCAAGAGCCCTTGGGCCTTCCTTCCTGGAAGTCCTGTCAGGGGAGAATGGGGCTGACGCCAGTTTCCCCTGACGTCTCTGGCTCTGGACATACATTGCCCCACTAATTTCTTTTGCCTGCCTCCAAAGGCTGTGTCCAGTCTTGTTTCTGGGCTTCCAGCAAATTACAGTATTTTTATCAGAAAGATGAGCCAGGTGACCAAGCTAAATAAGGAAAGTGAAGGTGAAAAGTCCCCATGAAAGCAGGCACAGAAATGGCATTGTGAGGAGGGGCTTCACCATCTGGCTGACTCACCAAAAATATTACCAGTGGTGACCTCAGAAGACTCCGGTCAAGAAGATCACAAGTCCTTAGCATTCCAGACAAAGAATTTGACAGAGATACACAGACTGCAAGGTGGTAGCAGAGTTTTACTGAGAGAGAGAACAGGAAGTTCATTCCCCAAGGAAGAGGGAACCGGCTCTGAGCAAGGTGGCTTAAAAGCAGTACCTGTAGCTCAAGAGCACCAGTGCCTTGGTTTGGATGGGTGTTTATAGCAAGGGGTAGGCAAGGGGAGGAGATCTGGGGGTTCTTAAGAGTGACTTGGTGACTGATGCATGTGTAAATCCAGTTCCTCACACACTGTACTGCAGACACTGTGGACCCTGGGCCACCTCCACTATCGGTGACTCACGTGTACCTAACTGTTCCTGTCCTTCTGGTTGTTCTGTGCTCCTCTTGCATCCTACACAGTAGCTACACGGTCATCCGTCTTGATACACTGGCCCAATTTTACTGCTCTTCCCAATGCTGATGTTCCCCTGACTGATGACACACTCTTTGTGTAGAGCAGAAATTGCTAAGAAGAAAATTTTGCTGTTTTGTCCACTTGCTTCATAGAACACGTGAAACAATACCTGGTGTTTAGCAGTAAGTGTTCATTGACTAAAGGAATAAATTCATCCCACATTTGTTTATTAGTCGCTTTTCCTGTGTGACAAGAATGATTTGGGGGAAAAACGGGCCTGCTCAGTATTGGTTTGGGTTAGGGGTGGAAGCAGAACAAGCAGGATTAAGTCTCAGAAGTGTTGGTTTCAATAAAACCAGGACTTGGAGTGGAGCCAGAGGGGAGCCAGGCCAGGCTGGAGGTAAGAAAGACAGTGACAGAGAACACCTCCTCTTCCAAAGGGGAACTAGCCATGGTGGCTCCATATCTACTGCCCATTATCTGAGATTTCCTTCTCTCAGGGATGTCATGTCCTCGAAGTTCACCAAGTTTGCCCATGGACACTGGCTGCATGGTAACTACAAGTGGCTGTCGGCTGCATTATCTATTCAACTCTTGGGCTCACAGGTGCACTTAGCTGTTCAGGTAAATCCTTCTGATTTGATGTCACATTTGAAATGTTGCTACTGGATGGCTGATGACCCTTCAGGGCACTAACTGGAGATGAAGAAAGCCCTGCACTGGCAGAATTGGAAATACAGAACTCTTCTTTAGGCAGGAGCGCTTTGTGTTATATAGAAACGCTGGTGACAGACATAGAGAAAGCAAAGTGGATGGATGGTCTTTTTAGTCTTTTCTGTATACCTAAGTGACAGGTTTTGCCTCCCCAGGTGGCCTGCTGGGACAGTCTGGGTAGGTTTCTGTTTAAATGGATTGGCCAAGGAGGTCAGGGACTGGAGGTGAAGGAGCTGTGAGTCTTTTCCCTCGTGAAAGAGATGATAACTAAAGCCTGATCCAAAGGAAGCATGGACTGGGAACATCTCCACCGGCAGAAGCTCACGTGGGTGCTTGTGCTCTCCAGCAGGACCCGTTCCCTGAGCACATTTGCGGAGACTGCGGTGACAGCCCCTGCCCACCAGGGGCTCCACTGCTGGCTCTGGCGCTGACATGGAGAGCCCCACCCAGGTGACCTCAGGGGCTAGGAGGGGTGGCAGACCCTTCACACCAACCTCCCCAGGCTCACATCCACCACTCTACGGCAAAATCGTTCTTTCTGGATTCTCTGGGCCCCCAGCGTGCTAACCCTAGAGGGAAGGAAGGGGAAAAGTGTGTGGCTGAGGCTCTCTGGGTTCAGATACGCTCTTCCCCCTTGTGCCATCTGCCCCCGGGCCTGGGAGAAGGTGGACAGTGAGCTTGTGAGAGAACATTCTGGAAGGAGATGGGATGGGGTCCAGCAAGCAGTTTGAACTTGGGCCTGGACACTGACTCGGGAAGCAAAAGTAACCTGGAAAAAGCTTGTCCCCTGTCTCAGTCCTTTAAACTCTTGCCTGGAGTGCATGTTTTGTCGTCTCTCTCACTGCAATAAAATTCTTCAAGTGCTTTACCTCCCTCACTTCACGGGGCAGGCTCCGTGACAGCGTGAAGCCCAGGCTGTGGGTAGAAGGTTCTAGTCTCAGGGAGGATGCACAGAAAATGATGAGGCCTGACTCGCTCCACAGCCACCCTCCGGCCTCCTTGCTCAAGCGTGAGCGTGGAGTCAGCGTTCAGCAAAGACCACAGCTGTCGAATCACACAAAGACATCCGTCCAAAGAGAGGCCCTGCCTCTCGCCCATGGCCTTGGGCCAGGCACCCCATGAAAATCCTTTGACATTTTAAGGTTAACCTCTTTTGACCTCCTTGGAGGTCTCCTTTCATCAAGTCATGGCTACTGGGTGACCCTGACCCCTGTCTCTTTTTGCAGTGGGCGCAGGTAACCTCACAGCTGACCTCTGCACGTCACAGTAACTGCAGACTGGCCACAGCCTGGGTAACTGGCACAGCCATTGGCTCCTAACTTTTTTATTTCTGTATTTAAGTTTTCTTTTACATAATCCCTGGTTTAGAAAATGGGTACAGGGTATTGTTACATACACTGTGTTTTTGAGAGTCAGGCCTTCATTGATCACTGTGAGCAAGTACTAAATGTGCGTGCGTGTCACTGTGCCCAGGAGAAAGGCCATCGGGGTTAAGACAGACGATGGACTCCAGTCAAAGCTGTCAGAACTCCCTTGTGCTTTAGGGATTCATGAATGAATGAGTACTGGATCTTTGCCTCCTCTGGGGGACGGCTGTTGTGCATAGTAGAGTGCCTCACAGCGGTTTACAGTAACACATGGTTTTAGCTCTACCTTACAAAGTAGGGACATTCCCATTTTGGAGGGAATACTCAGAAAGAGCAGGGTTCAATGATTTACTCTGAAGGTTCCTTCCAATTCGATGTTCCCAAATGGGCACATGTGAGTTGGGCAGTGATGATGTGAAAACAGGGCCCAATCATCCCGCCTTCACCCACAGACCAGGCGGAAACAGCAGCTGGTGGCAATCTGTTTAAATAAATAACTTTTCAGGAGCACAGAGCGAGGCTCTCTGTTCTGCCTGGCTTCTTAAACTGAAGAGGGTAATTGGGGGAGATTGGTCCCTGGGCCTGAGTTCAAGCGGGGCCCTTCTGTGTACCTTCCACCTCTTTTTCCTGTGTCCACCGCAGACCATCAGAAAGACACCTACAGGCCAGAGAGAGGGATTGTGGACACCTCCATGCTGTCTCTTAAGGCAGGACATCCCGTGTGGCTTACTAATGTCTGACTGCAAGCCACCCCACACATCAGGCCATGTCTACAGAGGCTCCTCCCAGCCTTCCTTAGAAAGTCCGATAAAAATTAGGGTTGCTTGTGCACCCTCTGTCTCTGGGCCCTGACTCCTGGGACAACACACTCTGATCTTTTCCCTAAATACCCTGGGATAGGGGGGGAAGGAGGAAACTTCAGGAAGTGAGTCAGGAGCCCTCTGAGAGAGTGGAGCTCAGGAAGTGAGAAGTACCATGGATGGAGCAGAAAGTGGGAAGAGGATGCACAAGACTGGTGCCACACACCTGGAAGAAGGCTGAGCTGGAGACAGGCAGAAAGGCATCACAGAAACTGGGGGAAAATGCCAGGCTCGGTTTGGCCAAGTGACATGAAGAGGCTGTGAAGCATTACCTGACAGCTGTGGCTTGTATTTGTGTGATCGCTGCCTGTCCTCTCCTGGCCCGCCCTGACTGGAGGAAGGAAGGTTCCTGCCTGCATTAGGTCATGATTACATCTTAGACAGGGGCCAGCATTCATCACAGGGGCCCAGAGAGCAGTGAGAAGTATATGAATGGATGAGTGACGGAGGCTGGAAATTCATGGAGAGACCAAGCAAGTGTTAATGGACCTTTGAATTATTGACACCCTTTCTTCACTCAACAAACAGTGGGTGGCTGCTAGAATTACGTACTAGACACTGGAAGCTTAAGTCCCAGCAGATGATGCTCAGACTAAAACATAAACATAACAAAGCACAGAGGAGCAGCCACCTTCACAGAAGTTCAGAGGGAGCCTTGGGAGCAAGAACTAAGGAGGAAAGGGGAAAGGAAGAGTCAAAACCTCACGGGAGATGAGAGGAGTCAGAGGTGCCAGGGGACTGACTCAGAGAGAGAAGGGCTCAGAGGAAGAGAGGTGGACAGCTTGGCCATTGATAGGAGCTGTTAAAGATGACCAGGAAGCAAGGTACAGTGGTACACACCTGTAATCCTGGTACTAGGGAGATTGAGGCAGGTGAATTGAGAGTTCAAGGCCAGCATGGGGTACATATGAGACTGTCTCAAAAAAAATAAAGAGATGATGAAGAAGAGGAGAACGTGGGATGACGAATGCGGACAGTGACTGTAGGACGGACATATGACATTTCCAAAGCTGTGCCATGCCTGACTTTACCATGGTGACAGTCTCATTTGAAATCATTCTTGATGACTTGCAATGGTCCGTGCTCGATCGCTGACCTGACAATTTGTTTATGTGACCTGTGTGAGTCTTTAGAATGCAAGTATTTGGTGAGGAAGTGGCTGGCTCATAAAATAACTGCATTTATTTGGAAGTATGTCCTCGGTAAGGGTCAAGACTCATAGACTTGGCTTTGTCACTCTGTGGCATACGTTCACTTGTCTGGACCCGATTATAAAATTTGTGGTTTTAGAAGTTTAAAAATTTACTTGTTAGTAAAATTATGGTGGTGTTATTTTGAGCAGCTTTCAATTCTTGAACAAGGAACAAAAACAAGGGAAGTTTGAGACCTGAGGCAAATTCCAACGTGTTTCTTTTATACCTGAAATTAAATTAACTGATCCCTTCATGTATACTCTTGAACTCTGTTGCTAGGAAGATGGACTAGAAATGTGTCAGACTATAAAAAAATTACACGAAAAGTAAAATCATGTAGTGTCTTCGGAATGTCCGCAATTGATGAAGTGCCGGGAAGAGGCAGGTGTGTCCTGAGCACCCTCAGATGTCTCTGCGGCCCTCGCCGGGTCCCTGGCTGCAGCCTGTTCCTCACATTTCCGTTTGTACTTCTCCTTCCTCTGCATGGCTTGTCTCTCCCTCAGCAAGGGCCTTGCCCGTGTCCCTGGATTCCAGGTACTCAACTACTCCGTAAGCCACCATGGTCAGACTCAGGACGCCTGCGAGAATGTAGAGCTTGGTGCTGATGCACAGGAAGGGGCTGTATCCAAAGGCGATGACGAACCCCAGGGCTTCCCCCAGGCGGTAGTTGGCGAATGCAGCTTCCTTGCTCTTCTCAAACAGAATGCCGTAAAGAGCTGCAGAGGAGAGACAGGAGTGAGGGTGCTGCATGAAACCTCCAACATGGCCACAGAGTTATCACTGCACACGGTGTAGCTGGGCCACAGCCTGCATCCCCCGAACCTGGACCTTTCTCCTTCAGGTCCAGCATGGGAGTCTCACCCACCCCTCACAGCAAAAGGATGCGTGGAAGGGTGGCTTGCTTAGATGGGGCGCTCACCAGTGCCCACGACCAAAGACAAACAGACAGACTTGACCCCCAGGGGGACAGAGGTTTGTTCTTTCGTGTGGAGAAGGTCCTGGAAGTTGGACAGTAACCTAGTAGGGAGGCTCCCGTCACCTCCCAGCACTTAGATGGCCTCGACAGGCCAGGCATTGCCTTGGTTTGGGACTATTCCTAACCTGAGAAATTTTTTCCCCTTTAGTGTCTCAGGTATTTTTTATTTTTATTAAAATGTGTTTATCGTTAATTGTCACCTAGTAATTGCACATTTTGGGGGGACTAGTCCAAGACTTTAAGAGCAAAAGAGTTTGGGCAAGCAAGCCACCAGTGTCACTAGCTTCCTACCTTTGCCCCAGTGAAGACTGATGGAGTTGGCCTCCCAGGATGAGTGCCAACTACACTGGCCCAACCCAGACTACTGTTAACTAACTGGGCCTCCTAGCATGAGAGCTAACTGTTAACAGTTAATCAGTGTTCACTAAACCAGTTTGCCAGACCAGTGTTAAAAACCCTCCCATGGCTGCCTGAGGCTGGAAGAGAAAGGCCCTGGTCTGTGTGGTGGGTGAATGGCACCCCTTGCAGATTCCCACGGTGAAGTGCTAACTGGCTCAGAAGGAGGCTGCCTGTGGAGACAGTGTCTAACTGAGCTCATCACGCTGAATGAAGCCATCGGCGGGCCCTGGTCCGTGTGAGTGGTGTCCCTACAAATAGAGAAGGTCAGGACCAGAGTCAGGGGAAGGTCGTGTAAGGATACAGGGAGAAGACACCATCTGCAAGGCAAGAAAGAGTCCTACCTGTGCTCTGATCACAGACCTCAGCCCCCACTGTGACAGAGAATGTGTAAGTGGCCCAGGCTGTAGGATTTGTTTGGCAAACATCTGGTAGATGCTTCTGGAGAAATCATGTCTGCTCCGTTACTGCGTATCAAATGTTTTTGATAGACCTGGATGAGAGCTGCAAGAATCCCATCTCCATGACACTGCAGGGTGGCAGGTGCATCTGGGAGGCCAGCCTTGTGTGCATTCACAAGGGCCTCCCTGAGCAGCTGGATCCCTAGGCCTGTCCTGGCTGGCAGCTCCTTCTCCCACCAGCCCTCACCTCCTCTCCAGCAGTACTCTCAGCCACTGAGCTGCTCCTGCAGACTGTTCTCCCTAGAGTCCTCCCTAGAGTCCCCACAGGGACTTCACACTGTCTGCTGGCAGCCCTGTTAAGTACTTCATCCTGGTCTTTTCGTTACCTCCTTCCCATCCCTAGACCCACAGACAGAGATTCCAAGATGGCGGCTAGAGGGAGGAAGCAGAAAGCTTGCCTCCTAAAGTGAAATCTTGGAGAGACGCTGGAGACACACCTTGCAGGCAAGGCCACTGAGAAGAGGCAAAACTTTGACCCCTCCACACCTCCAGCCTGCTCAGAGCATCTCCACTTCACGTTGAATGGAGAAACCAGGAGAGCCCCTGGGCCGCTGCCAGACGCCAGTGCCCAGACGGCTTGGGAAGACGTGGACAAGAGCTATTATTACAAGCCAGAAAATACTTAATTGCACACAATACAGGGACAATAACAACACTAAAGACAATGACAGGAAGACAGGAAAAACAGGGAAACCAGTTTCCCCACAGCAAAAAATTAGTACAGGAACCAGAGGGAAATGAAGAAAACAGATACTCAGATTCAGACTCCAACAAAATGAAGATAAACTATGCCAAAGAACTCAATGAAGCCCACAAGAATAATTTAAAAGAAGACATACTACAGGTACTCAATGAGAATTTTATAGAGATGATATTGGATAGGGTCAACCAAAATGTACAGGAGACACTCAAGAAATTCCAAGACAACAAAAATAGAGAATTTGAAAAAGCAAAAGAAGAAATAAAGGAAACCATAGAAGCACTGTATAAACACCAAAGTGAAACAGAGAACATGATTAATAAGGAGGTAAATGAACTCAGGACAAAAATAGACAACATTAAAGAGGAAACGACCCAGAATATGGAAAACCTCAGAAAAAAGAATGAAACAGAATTGCAAAACAAAAGGGAAGGCCAATCCAGCAGAATAGAACAAACAGAAGACAGAATCTCAGAACTCAAAGATGAAATGGTAATTAAAGGAAAAACCGAAGAACTATTAATTAAACAACTCAAGACTTATGAAAAGAAAATGCAAGAACTCACCAACTCCATCAAAAGACCAAACTTGAGAATCATGGGCATCAAAGAAGGAGAAGAGGTGCAAGCGAAGGGAATGCGTAATATATTCAACAAAATAATAATGGAAAATTTCCCAAATCTAGAGAAAGATATTCCCATACAAATGCAAGAGGTCTCCAGAACACCAAACAGACCAGATCAAAACAGAACTACCCCACGACATATCATCATTAAAACAACAAGTTCAGAAACTAAGGAAAGAATATTGAAGGCTGTAAGAGAGAAAAAACAAATAGCATACAAAGGCAAATCCATCAAAATCACAGCAGACTTCGCAACCGAAACATTAAAAGCAAGAAGAGCGTGGGGTGAGATCTTCCGGGCACTGAATGAAAATCACTTCAACCCCAGGATATTCTACCCAGCAAAACTATCATTCAAAATAGATGGAGCAATAAAAGTCTTCCATGATAAGCAAAAACTAAAACAATATGTGACCACAAAGCCACCACTACAAAAGATTCTTCAAGGGATCCTGCACACAGAAAGTGAAACCCAACATAACCATAAAAAGACAGGCAGCACCAAACTACAGGAAAAGAAAAAGCAAGAAAGTAGAGAGTAACATCAAGTTAGGTACACACAATCAAACCTTCAAACAACTAAGACAACTAAATGACAGGAATCACCACATACCTATCAGTACTAACACTTAATGTTTTTTTTAATTATTTATATGTGCATACAAGGCTTGGGTCATTTCTCCCCCCTGCCCCCACCCCCTCCCTTACCACCCACTCTGCCCCCTCCCTCTCCTCCCCACCCCCTCAATACCCAGCAGAGACTATTTTGCCCTTATCTCTAATTTTGTTGTAGAGAGAGTATAGGCAATAATAGGAAGGAACAAGGGTTTTTACTGGTTGAGATAAGGATAGCTATACAGGGAGTTGACTCACATTAATTTCCTGTGCGTGTGTGTTACCTTCTAGGTTAATTCTTCTTGATCTCACCTTTTCTCTACTTCCTGGTCCCCCTTCTCCTATTGGCCTCAGTTACTTTTAAGGTATCTGCTTTAGTTTCTCTGCGACTAACACTTAATGTTAATGGACTTAATTCACCCATCAAAAGGCGCCGTTTGACAAAATGGATTAAAAAGGAAGATCCAACAATTTGTTGCTTACAGGAGACCCATCTCACTGACAGAAATAAGCATAGGCTTAGGATGAAAGGCTGGAAAAAGATTTACCAAGCCAACGGCCCCCAAAAACAGGCAGGAGTAGCAATACTTATCTCTGACAAAGTAGACTTCAAACCTACATTGATCAAACGAGATAAAGAAGGACATTCCATACTAATAAAAGGGGAAATAGACCAAAAGGAAATAATAATTATCAACCTATATGCACCCAATGCCAATGCACCCAATTTCATCAAACATACCCTGAAAGACCTAAAAGCACATATTAACTCCAACACAGTGGTTGTGGGAGACTTTAACACCACATTATCATCAATAGATAGGTCATCCAAACAAAAAATCAATAAAGAAATCCAAGATCTAAAACATACCATAGATCAAATGGACCTACTTGATGTCTACAGAACATTTCATCCAACTTCTACACAATATACATTCTTCTCAGCAGCCCATGGAACCTTCTTCAAAATAGATCATATCCCAGGGCACAAAGCAAGCCTCAGCAAATATAAGAAAATAGAAATTATACCATGCATTCTATCTGATCACAATGCAATAAAACCAGAACTCAACAACAAAAGTAAAGACAAAAAACATGCAAACAGCTGGAAACTGAATAAGTCATTACTTAATGAACAATGGGTCATTGATGAAATAAAAGAGGAAATTAAAAAGTTCCTGGAAGTCAATGAAAACGAAAACACAACCTACCGGAACCTATGGGACACAGCTAAGGCAGTCCTGAGAGGAAAGTTTATAGCCATGAGTGCATATATTAAAAAGATTGAAAGATCCCAAATCAATGACCTAATGATACATCTCAAACTCCTAGAAAAACAAGAACAAGCAAATCCCAAAACAAATAGAAGGAGAGAAATAATAAAAATAAGAGCTAAAATCAACAAAATAGAAACCAAAAAACCATACAAAGAATTAATGAAACAAAAAGTTGGTTCTTTGAAAAAATAAACAAGATCGATAGACCCCTGGCAAACCTGACTAAATGAGGAGAGAAAAAACCCAAATTAGTAGAATCAGGAATGCAAAAGGGGAGATAACAACAAACACCATGGAAGTCCAGGAAATCATCAGAGACTACTTCGAAAACCTATATTCAAATAAATTTGAAAATCTTAAAGAAATGGACAGATTTCTAGATACATATGATCATCCAAAACTGAACCAAGAGGAAATTAATCACCTGAATAGATCTATAACACAAAATGTAATTGAAGCAGCAATCAAGAGTCTCCCCAAAAAGAAAAGTCCAGGACCTGATGGATTCTCTGCTGAATTCTATCAGACCTTTAAAGAAGAACTGATACCAACCCTCCTTAAACTGTTCCACGAAATAGAAAGGGAAGGAAAACTGCCAAACGCATTTTATGAAGCCAGTATTACACTTATCCCAAAACCAGGCAAAGACACCTCCAAAAAGGAGAA